AAATTTAATCAATAATCCCATTTAAATCTTTTTTTATTTTTTTAATTTGAAAAATCATTGACAAAATATATTTTATTTATAATTAAAATAAATTTATCAATAATCTTTTTAAATATAGGTATTTTTTTGGTATATTTGTTTGATTCGTTAAGTGTAAATACTTTTTTGATTCAAACAATGCTTAGAGGCTTAATTATTCAAAATATAAAAGTCCATTGGTTTTTCACGACTTTTTCCATTATTTTACCACATTAACCAGATGTATAGGTTATCAGTTTTTAGAAAGTCCAATGGATTATTTAACTTGTTTTGTAATGTTCAAGGACTTATTTGTTTTAAAAAATTGTTTAAATGCTTAATCATTCTAAAAGTCCATTGGAGTTTTTTTAGACTTTCTCATTTATAAAATATTATTTCTCTCTTCTGAATGTTTAATTCAAATATTCTCATTGTAGGAAATAGAAAAAATAAAAAAACCATTTTCATTCCTAAGTAATCATTTTTTGATAAACCTCCAGATTTATAGATTTTCATCATCCCTCTTATACTTTCTTCATTTTAGAGAATCTGTTGGATAAAAAATCTTCATTTTAGAGAAGCTGCTGGAGATGTTCGGAGTGAGTAGAAAAACACATCTTAAAACTATGGATGTTCATCGGTTGAAGTCCAATGTATCTAAGTGTTTTTTTATCTGATCTGATTCGATTATACAATTAATGTTGTATTTTGTCATCTAATCTAATCCAGTTAACATTGGAGATCCAATCCAATCCAATGGAAGATTTTGGATCGGTTCTATCCATTGGATATTGCTATTGACTATCTCTTGGATCAGATTGGATCCATTTATTATTTTGACACAGTTTTCAACTAATTAAGCAACTGTTTCAACCAATTATTCATATATTGTATTTAATTTAGTGAAAACAACTACATATAAATATCAACCAAAAAACAATACCGTAAAATGTAACAATTATATATTGTTATTAATTAGATGATAATTGGATTGGATCGGTTCGATTTTATTGGATTATGGACTATTATTCAATAACCGATCGATCCCATTTGGATATTGAAATTTTAGATCCGATCTAATCCAATTACAATCGGATACCCGATTATGATCGGTCGGTTCTAATTAGATCCGTTGGTTTAAATCAGATCGGATGAATTTCTGCACACTTTTAATTAAAACATTAATGATTATAAATTTATTTTTAAAAGATCTGCCAAATTAAAACATAAACATCTTTTAAGAGATTTGGAGTTTCGAATTACAACTTAAAGATTGTAAAAATTATATCGATATTTAGAGATCCCTTTATCAGACGTTTATTAGATAAGCATTCAACGAATGTCATTTGCCTTATTGGATGAGCATAGTATTAGAAGACTCTTAATGGGCCGTTTTATCAAATGCTTACTCAGGTAAGTGCATATCGTAAAATTTAACACTATGACTTACTTACTGGGTAAGGTTTTAGTCCACCAAAACGGTATCATATGCAACAATTTACCGGGTTAAGCACAAACTGTGGTAAGAATCGTCGCACTCACTTACCATGTAAGACTATCGGTCCTTATTTTCACTCTTACAGAATAAAATTATTGGTCCTTGTTATATTTATCCAATAAAGTAATATATTCCCTTGCCTATTTAGCTCTTATCAGATAAAAATCATCATTAAGTAAACAACCCAAAAAGTTGGAAAATAAAAATATGGATTGTGACTTTTTGTTAGAATTTTGATGAGTGAGTATCCAATGAAATAGTTGGTAAAAATCATGTTTTTTTATTAACTTGGATATCTAACCAGTTATGGAAGTTGACTAATCCCAAGACGACCACCCATTTCGTAGGTAGCTTGGAGTTACCGTATTTGGATCTTCATGGCCACAAGAGAATTTTTATTGGTTAAAAGCATAACAAATTTCATATTTATTACGTTTCTGAAAAAACTTGCAACAGAAGACTCGAACACAGAACCTCACATATGAAAAACAAGGAACTAACCAGTAGACCAATAATGATTTTATGCAAAACATCCATATCTTTGTTTCTTTTTGTCAAATGGTGCAACCACTGGAAAAAGAAAAATCCAAGCCCGCCTCTGATCGGTTTCACCATAATCAACGAAGAAAAATGAAAAATAGAACCTCGAAGGTCACCGGTTCGAGTCCTACAATATTACTGGGATTTTCCTAACAGTCCTCCAGAACCTCCGGTATTAATAGAGGTACATGCAATCTGGTTCGGTTCAGACACCCAGGGGTAAAAAAAGGAAACACAAAACTTTTATTCATCACCAAATACCCTTTAAATAAACAAGGAAATCTGTGTGACTTGTATCATTACAAGGGGTAAACATGTCATTTCAGCTTCCAAATACATCACAAAGAGAGAATTTACAATTGATTTGATCAGATAGAAGAAATACAAGAACATATCCCCTTCTGGGTTCAGTTCATAGTTTTGATCCCCAAAATAAAATTATTAACCCTTTAAAGAAATCAAACTGCACATTTTAGTTCATAAGAAACTAGTTACAAATAAAATCATATAGAAGTTCCATCTCAAAAGTAAAAATGTATTACCTCGAAAATGGTGTCAAAACGCCCATTTTGGCGACGAACGAACCGGGCTTGGCCTCCGAGGCCGATTAGGCCACTGCTGCTCGAGATTGTTCCGTTTCTTCATGATCGATGATACGGTAGGGTTATAATAGTCATTACTCCTTTGAGAAGTTGCACCTTGTGAAAAGACCTTTCTACCCTGAATGTAGCTTCTCTGTTTTTCGAGTGAACGTCCACGAGCCATTGGGTTCGACTGGACTGGACCCCATCGGTTGTGGTTCACACAGCTCTGGCTCCTCCCTACCTGCTGCTGATGGAACCTTCCTTCTTTAGGACTCGGGTAGTTGCGGCTTTCGGCTGTTTCGGCTGAGTACATGGTGTTCTCTCCTTCGCTGATATACCCATTTTGCCCCTCTGAGACCTGGCTCGAGGATGAACACGACCGGATCTCACCCTCGGTCCTGTTTACTGAACCCATTGAAGCGATCTCGGCTTTGACTATAGCATTCGACTGATTTTTCACGGGAGTTGTTGGCCCAGATGGTTTACCAATCTTGGGAGGGAAATTGATATCTAAAAGCTGAATTTGGGTGGTTTGGTTTTTCCTGAACGGAACCGAGGTCAATTTTGGCGACTCGTATATCTCAGGTGTCGGAATTCCCTGTACATGAGCCGCACCAATGGCAGGTTGATCATGGCTCGGTGTTTCATCTTGACAACTATTTGTGACTGGTGAGGAACTGGGTCCGGGTTGGTCTCGGGATCTCGAGATCACATTTGCCGACGATGGAGTCACTGGGTCGTTTTCCTGTTCGGTTGTCTTGAAAACTTGTCGCATACTGAATGAAGTACACGATTGTTCGCTTCTTTGGCCTGTCGACATCAGCCTAATAAGGGGTAGTTTCGGTTTGTTTACCAAATCATCAAGATTTCCCTCCCAATTCTGGTTTAACCAATCACAGATAACGGGAATCGGAATGCCAAATTGCATCGGGAGATCCTTCTTCCACGAGGATGAAGAAGATGACGATGTTGAAGAGGATTTTGTATTTGGAGATGTGGCTAACTTCATGGGGTCACAGACCATGAATGATATGTTACCGTGTGCATCGAACCCCGCTGAACCAGGGCTCCACGTTACACCATCGGTGCAGACCTTTATGAGGTTGTCCGTGGCTATGACCACCTTCCCTTCACCAACAGTCAGCTCGTTTTTCTCGGTGTAGCCTAGAATGTAAACTATACTACCCAGGTTCAGACCGGGTTTTGAACAGGTTTTCAAGTAGTGAGGATGCTGAATCGGCACATTCGAATCTCCGTCCATGGAGTCGAGACCCACTATTGTTAGATCGAGAATGGAGCTAGTTATGAAGAACCTGTTATTCGGTTTGACTGGTGTGAGCAATTCTTTTGTAGCAGGCTACTTTGTAAGGTAAAACAAAAGAGATCACTAAGGAGTTGTAAGGTTTTCTAAAATGGTTATAGCGTCTAAAATTGTACGGGAGGAATCATGAATATTTTGAGAACCGTGAAAACCAACTATTCATGATGAATAGGGACCTTCTTTTAAGAGCCCTTTAAATTGTGAGATCTTTGAGAACCACTGCATCATGTACTATCTCATATGTTTTTTCATCTATGACTAGAATTTAATGAAGTGATTAACATATATTTGTTTCACAATGTGATTGTTTCATATGTATTCAGTTCACAATGTGAWKSATGMTTGTTTCATATGTATTCAGTTCACAATGTGAAACATTTTTATGTGTACTTTTTTGTTTCACAAACACGGCAAAAAGGTTCATATTGTGAACCCAATACACGTGAAACAAACACATTGTAAAACAAATATATGTTAATCAATACATTAAATTCTATATTTCGATGGAAAAAATTATGTGAACAAAACTTTAATGTAGAAATTCTCATGGATCTCAAAAATTTTAGAGTTGTCAAATGATTACCTAAATATTCATGATGAATATACCTAAATATTCATGAACTATTCATGATTAATATTGGTGAAATTAAAATATCATGCATAATCATTATTCATCATGAATATGTTCATAATGAATAATTCATGAATATATTGGTTTTCACAGTTTTTATATGTGCTATTTGCAAGAGGAACCTAGAATACTCTTTAGATCCAGAGACTTGTTGTTCCTAGGAAGTTTCGACACTCTCTTACGAGTAAACCATCCAATAAACTTTCAAGCAATAAAACAAATTCCGCCATGGAAGGCCCTTTTGGACCTCATTTTCAGGTTGCTATATGAGATGATTGATTTAGGCATAAACGGCAATGGTAACCATAAGCTTGTATCTAGAATTCAACTGATCCAATACGCAATTATCAAAAGGAAACGGAACAAGAAAAGCGAGGAGAAAATTGAATGAATGTAGCAATTCAATCACAATTGAATCAATTAGGGCTCCAATTATCAGATCTACCATCACCAGTTTCGAATTCAAATGATGCACAAACACACACACACATATATACATATATATTATAGCATCAGATCAATTTGAGGCATTAACTGCATAGGTACCTGTGAGGGAAAAGGGAAGCACCGACACCGTTTTGAAGCCGGATCTCGGCGGCCTCAACGGCAGCTACCGACGGGAGGATGGCGTGAGTTGTAAGGAGAAGGTTCCGATGGATAAGAAATCCAGTACCGGAAAGCAAGCCGCCGGTAGAAATACGAGCCATGGCGGGACCTTTGCTGGAATAAATGGAGGCTTTAGTTCTCTCCGACTTACTTCCACCTTTACAGAAACACCATGACTCCCCTAAAACCCCCATTGATGCTTTCAATCCTCAACTGTCTGACGATTGTAAACCTTCAGATGGCTGAATGTAGGTCAACCATTTTTGGACGTGAGAAGAGTGAGTTTTTGGTAGAGATTTTGACAATGGGGTTTGTTGACAGTAGTTCAAGAGAGCTAGCTTCTTATGGGGGTTGTTAATGGCGGGTATGGAGGAGGAAAGAAAGGGACCATAAGCTCACGAAATTCGTAGAAGGGAATTGAATGCTGTACAGGGTTTCAACTTTCAACCAGCTAATTAAGGATTAATTATTAAATTATAACGGTTTTCTTCTTTTTTCTTTTTCCTTTTCCCTTTTTTATATTAAATAAAAAAAATTTGTAACATACTTTAACTTGATTCTTATTTTGGATATCATATTTTCAAATTTTCAATTTTAGTACTTAAGATGTACAATTTTAAACATTTAATTATCCGGATAATCGATTGAAGCATTAACCGGTTATCATGCTGATGTGACGAGTGATAAGATAAAATTGAACTGAATAGCAAATAATATTGAGTTGGACACCATATTACTTATCACATCAACATGATAATCGATTAGTTGGGTACTTAAATGTTTAAAACATTACATTTTATATATCAAAATAAAAAATTTAAAAATACATTACCAAAAATAAAAATCAAGTTAAAGTAATGTTATTTATTTATATAATTTACTCATTTATTTATATATATAAAAAAAATTAAAATGAGTTGTTTTTATATAATATTAAAAAAATAGCAATAGCCTCCACAACTTCAATGCCACCATGACAATCCATCACTCCATGTGCAATACAACCACAAAACAATTGCATTTCCATTCACTACAAAATATGACCAAAATCAAATTAAATAATACCACGTGGCAGAATCAAACTTAAGATCTCAGTTTCATCGTAGAAATTCGAAACACATATCTGCTTCCGATAAATGCCCAGAAGAATTTAAATAATAATTTATATTATTCAGATTTTTTTTATTAGCTTGGATATCCAACCTGTTATGCGAGCCGACTAATTCCAGGACGACCACCTGTTTTGCAGGTAGTCCAGAGTCACCGCATTTAAACTTTCGTGACCACAAGGGGATTTTTGTTCATCCTTATATTTGAATCTGAGACTTCCTGGTACTTTTGAATTTTGGAGTCAAGCTCAAACCAATCAGACACCATCCTTATGGTTTATTATTCAGATTTTGAGACGAAAGAATTACTAATAAAAAATTCTAAACCACGGGGTATAAAACTGAATTTTGATAAGTGTCTTTAGGCTTAGGTTTGGGTTAATACTGGGTTTAATATAGTTTTTTATTCAACGGTCTGTTATAGCAAATCCAAGTATGCTTTTGTAGGCTTATGAACTTGACTATACTTGTCTTAGGGGCCGTTTACTAAACGCTTGTTTGGTAAGTGTTTAGCGGATAAATTTCCTCATCGAATGAACATGACAAGGGCAAAGAATCTTACCGGGTAAGAGCAATGAGAAGGATATAGAATCTTATCCGGTAAGTGAAAATGACGACTCTCTACCCAGGTAAGTGCTTACCCGGTAAATTATTACATTCGATACGTTTTGATGTAACAAAAGATTACCCATCAAGGTAAATTATAGTGTTTACTCTTATAGATAAGCACTTACCAGGTAAGCATTTGGGTAAACAAAGTATCAATTGTCACCAATATATACTTGGGATCATGTGAGACCAATATGTTTTTGTGAGAGCTGTAAGACCATATTTTTATACTTGAATCTTCACAATAAGAAACTGTGAATGTAATATTCACAGTGTTTTACATTCATAGTGTTTTTGCTACGATGGTTCATGTTTTTTTACTTTCACAATATTTTGATGTCAAGTTTATAATGTAAAAATGTGGTCCATGGGTCTCACGAAAACGAATGATTTCACGTGAACCCAACTGTATGTGTGTGTGTGCATGTGCATGTGTGTTGATGTACCAAAATCTTACACTATATACATTGATATCTTTACATCTTATTTTATTCTCGAAATAACTTATGTAATTTAAATGATTTTACATAACTTACAATTTTTTTAAGTTCTAATTTTTCAAATATAAATAAAAGTCCATTAACCTGTGGTCAAGCCTAGCCCATTTATGAGACACTAGGTGGCGTTTGGTTCGCAGAATGTTTTTGGATGGAATGGAATCTGTTAAAGGAATTTGACTTTGAAGGAATTGGAATGGAATGTTGTCAGGTTTGACCACCTGTTTGGTTGGCAGACTTTGGAATGGAATCTGTTAAGGAATTGGAATCTTTCTGTTTGGTTCACAGAATGTAGTTTTAGAATTGGAATAAAATTTTGCTAAATGACCAAAATGCCCTTTTTTTGACAATTTTAATTTTTTTAAAACTAAAAATACTTCAATAAAATAATTATTTAATATGCACAACCCAAATATAATCATAAGCTAAATCGACGGTGATCGACGATGGTTCTCATCGGTGGTGGTCCACAGTGGTTCAGATGGTGGTGGTCCGTAGTGATTCAGATCGATGGTGGTCCGTAGTGGTTCAGATGGAGGTGGTCAGCGGTGGTTCAGATAGGCGGTGGTTGTTCAAATCGATGGTGGTCGGCGGTGTCCGACGATGATTCAGACCGGTAGTAGTCGGTGGTGGTGGTCAGTGTGGTTTAGATCGGTGGTGGTCCATGGTGGTTCAGATGGCGGTTATCGACGGTGGTTTAGATTGATGGTGAATCAAATCAGTGGTGGCTCAGATCGGCGGTGGTTCAGATTGGTGGAAGTCGGTGGTTGTGGTCGGCGATGGTTTAGATCAATGGTGGTCGGCGGTGGTTCAGATCGGTGGTGGTCGGCGGTGGTTCAGATCGGTGGTAGTCGATGGTGGAGGTGGTCGGCAGTTGTTCAGACCGGTGGTAGTCGGTGGTGGTGGTCGGCGGTGGTAGTCGGTGGTGGTGGTGGTGGTGGTTGGCGGTGGTTCGGACAGATGGTGGTCGGTGGTGGTTCAGATCGATGGTGGTGGTCGACGGTGGTTCAGATCGATGGTAGTCAGTGGTGGTGGTGGTGGTGGTCGGCGGTGGTTCAGATCAATAGTGGTCGAGAGGTGGTCGACGATGGTCATATTGAGTTTTATGAGATTATAGTATATTAGGTTAAGGGCATATTTGGTATAATGAAGATAGAGATTCCATTCCATCAAAATACCATGTAGTTGCTWAGGAATGTTAAAATCYTTWATCCATGGAATTCATAGGAATCTGAAGATTCCTTCTGCTGAAAAGAATGAACCAAACGAAGGAAATGAATCTGGTCAAAGGAATTCAACATTCCAATTCCTTCAGATTCCTCCAGAATCTGCGAACCAAACGCCACCTTAGTATAGGAATCCTATCCAAAGCCACTTCTGAAATTATTTTTGATAAAAAGCAGACAATCATTTTAATAAAAAACAAGTTGTAAGTACTAATCGAATATCTCACTTATCAGGTAAGATTCTCGCTTCTTACTATTGCTCTTCCGGTCATTGCCATACCCAGACAATAAAGTAAGCAACACTTGATAAACGATTATCCGATGGACATTTTGGTAAATAACCTCTTACTGTTTTTCTCCATTTTATTTAAAGATATTACAGTTTCAACCTTTAATGATCATTGAAAATGCATTAGAACATCTCTAACAGATTCTCTATAATTTACTTAAAATAGTGAACCAAAAGTCAAAATCTTAAAAAAATGTTAAATGTATGAAATAGCAACCTACTTTCATAAAATTTCTTATTATAACATTCCATTTTTGTTTTTCTTTATTACAGCAATGTACTTTCAAATTATTTTTTATTAAGACATTGTACTTTAAAAAATCTATCCATAATAGCAATGGGTAACCCGTTACCTTTTAAACTGGTTAACCATTTGACTTTTTTGCTTGTGTGGTTTTAATGAGGTGATGTAGATGCCACATCATTTTGATGACTTACTAAAATAAAAATAAAAATATATTTCAAATTATTATTAATGATTTTCATTTTTCATTGCTATGATCTAAATTTTTTTTTTTTTTACTTTTTCTTATTAAGTTGCATTCAAATTAAATATTCTTAGAGTAAAATATTTATTAAATAAATATGAAACATTATTTTCGAAATATATTTTGTTTGTAAAAAAAGTAATTTTTCTTATTTTATGTTGTTCAAATAAATACATATCTTTTAAAGTTCTTTTAAAATATTAACAAAATAAATTGTTATCTATAATTTTTTAATATTGTTATATTAATAAATAATTCAAAAAAGTCTAATTAATTTAATATATTTATATGTCAAGTAAAAAGTTTTTGAACAAATATAATATATTATTTAAAAGATAATATTTTTTTGGTAAAAGAGAACAATTCTTATTTTCTTTTTCTTTTTCAAAAAACACATATTTTTTTAAAAATGTTAGTGAGATAAGTTGTGTTCTACTAGTTTTATTGATATTGGTATATTAATGAATAATTTAGAATTTTTTTAATTCATTTAATACATTTATTAAATAACATGTAAAATATCTAAATATTAAAATTAAAAATACGATGTTTAATAAGAACTAGTAGATGCTACAATTAAATAATTTTGAAAGTACAATAATGTAGTAAGAAAGTCACATCACTATAGTACATGTAGACAACCTACGTGGACAATGAGGTGGCATGAAAACATATCAAAAGGTTACTCATTGCTATAACGGGTAAATTTTTCAAAGTACAATGTTCTAATAAAAAATAGTTTGAAAGTACATTGCTGTAATAATAAAAACTAAAAGTACAATGCTATAATAAAGAAATTTATGAAAATAGATTGCTCTTTTGTGCAATTTGCCCTAAAAAATTGCATATTCCAATATATTTTAGAGATTTTAACATCAATTATATTATTAAAATATTATATAAATTTATCATCTCAATACATTTTTAAAAAAAGAATTCATACAAAATAATAATTCAATTTCATTGGTGACAATGAATAAAAAATTAATTTCTCTCTCTATGTATGATTTCCAATGTTGTTGAATTTTAAGACTTTAGAGTTGTTTGATAATTATTGAATTATTTGATTCAAAATGATTAAGTGATCAGAATGATTAAAAGACTCTTATAATATAAGCAAAATGAATCTAATTATTTAATAATTGTTTACAATGGTATTAAGGCTTTGAATGGTTAAAAGAGACCCAGTATGCAAAATCATTCAGAGAATATTATAACCATTAAGAGATAAATTTTTTTTTATCAAACACTACCTCTTAACGATTCAGAGACTGCCTCTTAATAGAACTATAAAAAATAAATAAACAACCTCTTAAATGAAGTTTTAAATTGAACACCTCATGAGATAGGTACACCGCTGATCTAGTACAAATAAGTTGTTATTGCACATGATGCAAAATGCATTTTTTTCCAACAATAATATAAATATATTATATTTATAAGTATGGAGTTATTTGGTAGTTGCTGAATGGTTTAATGTAGAATGATTAAGACACTCTAATGATATAGTGCAAAATAAAATATAATTGTTTGCAATGAAATTAGGACGCTGAATGGTTAAGAGAGACCTAGGATGCAAAATTATTCAGAAGATTTTATAACCATTAAGAGACAGACTTTTTTTTTCCCAAACAAGATTCACCTCTTAACGATTTTGAGGCTGCCTTTTAATGGAATTATTAAGAGGTAAACAAACAACCACATATGATAATTGGTTGGTTTTCTATTAAGTTATGTATTGATAAAGTTGTAGGTATTGGTTAATCTATCTATATAGATTGAGAAAGTTTTTGCTTGAGAGGATTTTTCATAGATGGAAGAAACATGATTTTTAATTGGGTAGGACATGTTTGGGGAACATAAACATGTCCCCTACAGGCTTATTAAATAAGTTATTTATCATTAAACCACTACCAAACGGTTACAGTATAATTGACCAAATAAACCGCAGTTCTTATTAATCCCATTAAGCTACTAATGAAAAGATCCTAAATTGAAAACACTTATCTATACTATATTATAAAGCATTTGACAAAAACTCTTAAAAATAATTTTTTATGCACAAAGTACTGTTTATTGATGCATATTACTCAAAATTTAAGATTACAAGTAAGTTGTACGTAAGTACAGGTTATTAAAACTTAATGTTTGAATTCGTGTAACTAACTGTAGATAAACATAATCAAATATATTATAAACTGTAAACATCTCATTTTAAATATAAAAAATCTAAAATATAATTAAGATCATCATTGAGTTATAACAAAATAAGTAATTACTATCTCTTTATAAAAAAATTATATTATTAACCATAAATTAAATTACTTCGTCACGTTAAATTAAATTAGAATTAAAGAAATTATACAAAACAAGAACTTTAAAATAGTTAATTTGATACTAATATTGATATAGTTTTTTCTTTTTTATAATATTTTCTTCAAAAATAAAAACATTATTGCTTTATCAAAACTACATAAAACCGTATTATATCTGTATTATAAAACCATTAAAATCTTACGTTTTTTAAGGTTTAAAAACTAAAAAAATTATGTTTTAGGTTAACGACTTAAGATCGACTTCTGTATTTATATATCATTACCTTTTTCCCCTAAAATATAACACCCACCATGGATAAAAAGGGTAAATTCAAAAATTAGAATAGCTAGATTACACTAATACCCTTTTAATATTTACTAATGTAAACAAAATAATGATTCAAGAACACTTGTGTTTATTAATGTAAACAAATAAATAATTCTTATTTGGCACGATTAATAACAAACAACCCCTAAGCTACAAATCTAGGTCATGTGTCTTGTTAAAAATCAACACATTTTCGTTTTTACAGTTTTGAAATTACAAGATACCTATCATAATTTAAAAAAACGTCCAGATTTGATCACTATCTCTAAAAACCGCTAAAAGATTTCATTGAATGAGAAACTTTTTTTTTATCTTTTTTTTTTTTTTGCATCTTAAACTATCAAAAGCCCCAAAGACCAAATAGTAAATTCAATTTTAATTGAACAAAAAGACAAAAAAAAATCAATAAAAGAACAAAAATACCTCTCATCTAACATCTATTAAAAAAAAAGACTAAATTCAGACATTTTTGCAAACCATAACAATCATCTATCTTTTAACTTCAAAATTACATAAATAAAAAAAGGTTATTTTCCACAAGCCAAGGAAACAAAATTTGTAGTTTACAACCACAAAAATAGTACATGATTGGTTTGAGCTTGACACCAAAGGTCAAAAGTACCAAGAGATCCTAGATTTATATCCAAGGAGAAATAAAAATCCTTTTGTGGCCACGGAGGTTTAAATGCAGTGACTCTGAGCTATCTACAAAGCAGATGGTCGTCCTGGAATTAGTCGGCGGACATAGCAGGTTGGATATCCATGTTAATAAAAAAAATTGTAGTTTACTCAAGTAACAAAATAGAAATATTTGTTTTTGTAAACTAATTTCCCACAAAGAACCAAAGAGTCTTTAGCCTAGCAGTATGTGAATCATTGACATTCTAAAAGATCAAAAGTTCAAACCTCACCAAAGATAAAAAATATTTGTGGGTTTATTTATTTTTATATACCGTATATAAATATTATATACTCTAAAGGATAAAAATATTCAATTTATTGTTTAAGCAATAAACAAGTGTATCATGTGTATAAAAAACTTTAGGTTTATAGAGAGGGACCATTATTTTGAAATTAATTTTTAAAATTAAGTTACAACTCATTTTAATAATTGCAATATTAAAACCCACAAAAGCAACCCATGTTACCCACCTTTCATCTTTATGCTACATTTTTTTTAATAATTGTCATATTAAAAAAATCATCCATTTGTATCTGACGAACATTTGACAGAAACTCTAAAAACAGATGACATATCTACGTACATCTTATTTTTTATAAACTCTACTTTTTACTGGGATATAATATATTTGTCACATTTGGTTCAAATACGTTGATCTATTTTTCGAGTAAAATGTACAAGCAAAACAAGAAACATAAGAAACTTGGTTATCGCATGACCCAAATAAATGTCGTTATGAAAGGACCCAAACAAACATGTCATATGGCCGAGGGGCCCTTGAAAGCCAAAGTCAATAATTGATCGGGAAACGACTTCCAAAACGTTGGTTATTAAAAGCATGACCGACTTTTAACATCATGAATTACAGGACACAAGCTCGTCAGCTTACGAAGACTATATAGTACATTATGTAAAAAAATCGAACCAAAACAAACAAAGTCGGTAAAGGGCTATTTGGCAGTTGCTGAATGAATAAGTGGTCAAAATGATTAAGTGGTTAGAATAATTAAAAGACTCTCATGATATAGTGAAAAATGAAATATAATTGTTTGGTAATTGTTTACAATGAAATTAGGACGCTTAATGGTTAAGGGAGACCTATGATACAAAATCATTCAGAGAATTTTAGAACCATTAAGAGGGAGCTTTTTTTGCCAAACAAGATTCACCTTTTAGCGATTCAAAGGTTGTCTCTTAATGAAACTATTAAGAGGTAAACAAACAACCCTTAAATTTCATATCAGGTAAGGTCTAAGAGGGGTAAATGTAAGCAGTCTTCCCTCTACCCCAAGGGGTAGTTTTGTCATATATACATGTAAGAGAGAACACAGAAAGAAAGGGAGAACAAGGAAATCCATCTAAACCATCCATCTGTTTCAATCCAACGGCTGTGAATAATAGGAGCAGTTACATTTTGCAAAAACTAAATCCATAATTAGAATTTCTAATCTGGGTCATCTATTTTTCAGATCCAACGGTTGATAGAGGTTCCCTTCTCTTTTTTGGGGGCTCTCTTGATCCTCCCACTATACATATGTATGATACATGTGAGACACAACCAGGATCCCCATGTAGCTTTACATGAACATGTAAGAGACATATATACAGGTTGGGAACATGATCAAAATGGCAGATCTCCCCAACCAAATTCATTTTTTAGCCGTTTTTAATCAAATTCTCATTTTAGCCGGAGCTAACATAAAATGCGTAAAGCCTGTTTTCAGATTACGCAAATTTGAGTAAGGATCCCGATTTACGTAAAGAATATTTTTTTTTTCTTTTTTTAATCTGAAAAGATACTTTACGCAATTTGCGTAAACTTTGGCTAAAATGGCAATTTGATGCCAAAAGTGGCTAAAAAGTGAAATCGATGCCAAAAGTTGGTTGAGTATATTTGCTATTTTGGTCAATTTCCCATTCAGATTGCTAATGCAATGACACAAAGGTAAATGTGCAGAACATTGAGATTTGCATTTCTACATACTTTTAAACTAGGAGATGATGTTTGTTTTCCATTAAATCTACTATCATTCTAGAAAGCAAACCGAGTTTACCAGCAAGTACACTTGTTTAAAGTAGAAAACGATCAATTCCAATGAGGCCTCAACTGGTATCAGACTTCTCCAATGCTGCAACAGAATGCCATTTATTGTTGTTAGACAGAAAGAACTAATTTACTGCCAAACCTGTCACTGGGAATGAACCCGGGGACGAATTTGGAACTTCAACTGTCAAGAAAAAGCACCCCACTACTAAACGGCATTGTTTTAATCGACAACTTTACATTCATTGAGTGTCAGAAAAGGATCATGTGTACTCGTAAGATACAATGCAATCAGTTGTTATTTCCCTCCCCTTAGGGCCCGCTTGCTTTGCAGGATTTGGTGGAATTTGGAATTGGATTCCATTCCAATCCCGTGATTTCATTAGTGTTTTAAAATACCTTAAAAAACATTTTTTAGTAATAATTAATTAATAAAAGGTAATTTAATCATTTTATAATTTGTTTTTATAATTATCTATAAAGAATGGAATTCAATTCCATTCCAAACCCTGCAATCCAAATAATCCAAATCCCTCAAAAGCATTATGTCAAACCATAATAAAAACAGCCTTTTTATTATCATAGGCTTTCATGATGCTCAATAATGGCTGCTTAGACTTGTTTATGAGGGCTCAGGGATTTACTAGTTTCCTCTTACATGGTTGGTTGTTCCCAAAGAACTACTATATTATTTTGTCACATGATGATGATATAATTCTCCTTGTCCAATGAGCATACAACAATTTTCATTTTGGGATGTCCCATAAAAACTTCCAACACTTCTGTCATCAGAAAGTGTCAAGCTACAATTTCTTACTCCCTACGTCCCGCAATAAGGGTCCACCTTTCTATTTTAGTTTGTCCCAAAGTAAACGTCCACTTTCAAAGCAAGTGCATACTTCCAATACTACCCTTAATTATGGGATGGAGAAATTCATTGCTGCCTCTATAATTATGAGTAAAATTGTCGTCTAAACAACTAAAAAGTGTAACAATTACACATTTCTAAAACCATCTACCTTTTTCATTGTGAACATTTGTTTTCGAATAAGGGATTTAGTTAATTGTTTGAATTGTTGCCACACCTTAATGATAATAATTTGGGTCCACAAAATTTCCCCTTATTTTGAAATTACTAAAAGATAAAACATTTAACAAGTAGTCAATATGCATTTAATGGGATGGAGGGAGTAACTAAATGACCTTAATGTGAGAATAAGTTTAACGTAGAATTTTCACAGAAACTTGAGGACTAATTGCTGGCTGGTTTCCCACACCTTTCAAAAAATACAGCAGTAGGAAGCGCATGTTTGTATGTGTGTTTGTGTGAGTGCATATCAACTTTCAAGAGATATGTTAGGATGAAGAGAGAAGTTACTATTATAGTTCAGAAGCTTCTCAATGAGATCAACATGAGTCATCAGCATTCTTCTGCAACAGTAACGAACAAGCCCCAAAGCATCAAGAGCATCTCTGCACAAGTCAAGTAGCAAATACGGCATATAAAGAACAAGATCAATTTAAGTTCACATAAAGAAGGCACCCATTATTTCCTGACCTATCAGCCAATTCCCAAAAGGAATGGAGCATGCGAACATTTGATTATGTATAACTATCTGCACCTATAGGATAATGCTTAATAGCATTGCCAAATACTAGGAATTTCTCAATTATGTAACAAGAAATAGTAATTAAAAGAAATATACTATAAATAAGTGTTGACAAATATTAAAAAAGTACATAAACATATATCACCTTTAATGAAGACCCAACATGTGTTAAAAAAACCTTTTACCTATGATAGTCAGAGGCCCAAAAATGTCATTCATGTAACATGTACCAACTGTGCACGTTTTGCAAGAGAAACTAGAGGAAACACGAATGCAAGTGAACCAAAAAAACAACTCTAATTAGAATTTTGCATATATGAAAGCATCCCAAACGGACCCGGAGGGTCGGGGGTGAATCAGCACTTGCTTAACACCTGAACTAACATATCTCGATTTTCAAATGTACAATTTACAAATATTCGTTACTAATAGAAGAGTGGCAATTTCAACTCCATGGCTAATATCTTTTCTTTACAAGAGTTTCTGGACAACAATTTAACACAAATAAATAGTAATCCCAAATAAATTAGTGGCAAAATGAACCATCTAGAAATAGATGTCCACAATCTTTCTATACATTAAAAAAACAAATACTAAAAGTACTTTGTGGCCTTCATGTACTAGTATTTGGTGCAGTCAGGTCCAGATGGCTTTATTGACCAACTACGGTAGTTACAAAATCATGGAGGCCAAAAAAGTTAAGTCCACATCGCCTTAATATAAACAAGTTTCAAGTAGGGTATTTCACTCCAACCCCACCTTGCATACATGCCATTATGTGTTACAACATTTTTTCCAAGAAGGCAAGAACACATAGATATAGCGCAAATATGTAAAGGGCAGCTAGTTCCGAATACAAAAGATTAAACACTTTCCCTCAACATCAGAAATATATATATGCTTCCAATTTATGATTTATCTAGCACCTAAAATTTTGTACGGGTACCCATACAAATTGAAGAAAACAAGTTTTTCCTATTGGTATGCTTGTGATGGTTCCCAATAAAATTTACAGAGAAACCCAATGAACTTTTGCTGTGGACCCATTTTCCATTGAACTTAATGTTGTATCTAAGAAATCGTTGAGCTTCTAATTGCTTTGTTACTACCTTCACTTAAGAGCACTGTTCCTTCATTGTTACTCTTGCTGAGTTAGAAACTTATAATATTAGCTACATTTTAAACCTGCATTAGTTCTCGAGCAGACTTAGAAACATTTGAACAGCAAATAAAACCAACAAAGTTGTGAAAGGAACTAATTTCCGCTAAAACTTGCCTTTCGCACTTGAGGAAACATAGTTCTCAGTTTTTCTATCAACAACCGACAGTTAATATGTTTAAATTGAAATGAGATTTGTTCGATGTCCACATCGAAGCTGTATCTTTGGGAAAACAAACGATAATATACTACAGAGACGTCAAATCCATTCGTAGCGCAAGAGAAAACACAATAGCCGTACGATAATACACTACAGAATCCAGTTTTCAAAATTCTGTAAACCCTAAATTCTTTCATGAACAAAGCGATAAACGGCATTAAATGCCTCACCCTTCCGTGTAATCAGATTGGAGAAGATCAAGATACGTGTCCCATTTGTTTCCAATAACCTGAAAACACAAATTCGTGAAAAAAATCTTAAGATCCTCGAATAAATTATGAACTTCATGCATGTAGAGACAAATATAGTGATGAATTAGGGTTTTACCTTGCCGCAGGTGAAGCATCGGACCGGAATAATCATCTTTGGTTGCCCTAGTCTCAGTCTCGCCTTCACAAATTCAAACTGCGATTTTTACAAGAGAATATAGACCGCCTCCGCTGTAGGCGGCTTATATACCTCGGTTATCAGGGAATGCCCTAAAACTGTTTCAGAAGTGAATTATTATGTAAGTAATTTTTCAAATTAATAAAATAAAAATATAATTTAAAAAATATTACTGATTAAATTTATTTCGATAAAAATAAAATATATATTTTAAATTAAAAAAAAAGTTTTAAAAATAATTACTAATGAAATTTATTTTAATTAAAAATAAAATTGATGATTTTTCAAATTAAAGAATAGAAAATAATTTGATTAAATTATTGACGGATTAATGATAACTAAATACATAACTAATTAAAATCCGTCGCTAGTATGATTAACTCAAAAATTCATCATTGGTTAAATACATAATCAATTGACTATTCAATAAAAGTCATCACAAACAATAAAACATAAACCAACGTTTATTCAAATACATGTTCTAAAAGTATGATTAACTCAAAAGTCCATCATTGGTTGGGACAATTCACTTGCCAAATGAAAACATACAATTTATATTTCCAAAATGTCTCATGACCAAATTATATGTATTTTCCAGACCAAATATGTTAAAAATGCAGTATTGCCAAATAATCTCCATTTACAAAATAAATCACTAAATGAATACACACACTTATGATTTATGCATCAAAATATCCAAAAATCCCAAATATGAGATTTTCACAAGATTTATGAACTCAAACATACCAAATATGCAAATTTCATCCAATAATCATCACATTTGTTAAAACTCAATAAATCATCTCAAGACTCCAAAATTGACATTTTTAACATGTACATAGTTTTCACAAAGCAATTCGAACTCATGTTGCGAGGTTATGTTAAACGTGGTTTCCAAACCCATACTTAGTTTCTAAAAGGTGAAGACTTGAATCCACAAGTAAATTCTCCCAATAACTTCTGAAGGTCACATTCTATGGCTAGAATTATACCAAATATGAACAAGATCGTTAGATCTAAAAAAATCCCCAAAATAGAGCTCAAAACACCCATACACTTGCCTCATCAAGATATTGAAGCCTCTCATCATAGATGTTCAATCTCCAAGGTTCTCCTCTTCATTTGCTGCAAAAGACGTCCTAAAAACGTCAAAGATCTAAAAATTGTGCGAGAGAAGGGAAGGAAGATGATGGAAGAAATAGGCGAAAACCCCTAAAATTTGTGCTTAAAAGATGCTCCAGAGGCTTCTTGCAACCTTTCTAGCGGTCTAAGCCGCAGGACTAGTCGCAATTGTACAAAAAACTCAAAATTTTAGAACAAAAAGTTGGGCGACTTGGTCACGGTTTTAAGTGGCGGACAGTTGACCCAACTTTTTGTTGGCTCCCGATACACCCTTTCTCTAGGGGGTGAGCATCGGAAGCGGGTACCTATTTTTGAAACTGCCGGTTCCGGAATCGGAACCAAACACATTTCGGTTCCGGTTTCTAAAATACGAATCAATCAGAACTGGTTCCGATGCCGATTCTAATTATTTTGGAATCATTAACCGCTGGGTACCGGTTGGGATCGGTTACAGGACTGAGTGCCCAGGAACCAAAACCGATGGGCACCCGCTATTTTCTAAAATAAATGTTTGAGTTTCGCACCAACCATTTAGCTGTAACACTTTATAATGTTAGTTTCATAGGAGTTAGGGTTCGAAGATGGTGGAACTTTGATATGTGCTCAAGATTGGCTGAGGGCATCAACAATATATATATATATATATATATATATATATATATATATATATATATATATATATATATATATATATATTTAGAGGATGTGCAGAAAAAAAATATGAGGAAAGTAATTTACTTATTTATTTTGTCTTTGTTTTTCCCGATATTTTTTATATCATATTTAACATTTTAATTTGTGTTTTTTGTTATTTTCATTTCAGAAATTGGTCGTAACGTCCTAGATGAGATATTTGTTAGCATCAACTATTTTTTTTTATTTGGTCAAAGACCTTCCAGCCTAGTGGTAAAGGTTTGGGCATGTCATAGTCATGAACCCGAGTTCGAGCCCTGGGAGAGGTGTGTTGGCGACATTTAAGTGGGGTCATGTTTAGCCTCCAAATTTACCGGGGATTAGTCGGGTTTTGGCCCGGACACCCTTACAAAAAAAAAAAAAAAAAACTAATTTTATTTGAGGTAATCTTCCAATTTATTTGTTGTTGTGACACTTTATAAAATGATGTTTGCTAATAAATGTTGTTTTGCTGCTGTTAGGTGTTGACGTAAAGTGTTTTAGAAGCCGTTTTGTTGTTGTCAAGACTCAGAAGTTTCTATCAAATTAGTTTTTAGTTTTTATCAGATTAATTTTCACATCATTTGTTCTTTGTAGTATTTATTTCGTTAAATTGGTACCTTATAATATACTACTAATTAATTTTTTACAGTATGAAATGATAAAAAAATTTAAAAAAAAATATAAATTTAAAGAACCGATGTAAGCGGTTCTTGTATCGTCATTCCAAGAACAGCTGGATCTGGTTTGGTTTTGGTTCCATAAATTTTGGTCGGGTATCCTACCTTTCTCTACCAAAACTTGCACCAATTATTTTCATGGTACAATATATTCCACTCACTGAAAAACCTCCAAAAGTTCATAAAAAGAACGTCAATCCTGAAATCTTATATCATATCCACAAAGATACGGGTGTATCGAAACAACTTCATATACAATGAATATTCTACTTGGTTCAAAGGACATCCTAGAATACATTCAACCAAAAGCATGAAATGTATCAAAACATTAATCAATGAGAATGAAAATAAAAGAAACTGTTTGGTTTTATATAATATGATTGACTCATTCCACCATAAGCCCAATTTTTCATTCTAGATCAAACCGGGAGGATGTCATTTTCATTCCAAACAGCCCCTAAAATCACATTGTCATTCCTGCTTCCAATCTTCAAGTCAAAAGTGATTTGATCATTTGAATTCTTCAATCCTTCAAAATATGGCAACAAGTGTACCCAAGTATTATGGAAATCTATAACAAGTTTTCTGCATTTTAGCCATAAATAACGAGCAGAAACAACGATGCAAAATCTACGGCTCTTCTTTTGTCAGATCACGAATCCGAGCCCGCAACTGTTCCTCCCGTGCTTGCTTTGCAGCAAGAGCTTCTTCATCAAGAACTTGGATGGGCAACCATTCTGGCCATTGGAACCAACTGTTTTTCTTCTCACCAGCCATCGATTCATATATGTCCTTAAAAACAGGCCTTAGTTTGATAGCAGCATAATCAAGCGAAGTTCCCACAACGGCGATCCCAACTGAGTAACGGATTGCACCGGCACGACCACCTGAGATCAATATGTGACGAGATCGTGTTAGTTGCCTAATAAATTTGATAAAAACCGAGTGATTAGACAAAATTATAAAGTGATTGTTGTTCTTCATGGGTTTTTCAATTACATGCCTTTAACAAATAAATTTATCAACGGGTTACTTATAGGTAGAGCCCAACCTCTCAAGAGGTTACACCAAGGCGAGAAGTGTGTGTGAGTATTTGTCTTATATAAATATTATATACTTCAAAAAAACAATATCAATCACATGAATTCTCGTAATCATATTCATTATATCATCTCCGTCCATATTTATCCCATCAGCCAACATAAACGGTCCACAAGGATGGGGAATGGGATGATTTCTTTTTGTCACGGGATGAAGATAACAGTTGGGAGACTCATTTCGAGTTAGCAGCTCCCATGTTTAGCATTGTGTGGCAAAAATAAGCTAACTTATTTTCTGGGTACATGTTTGGATGCTCATAAGCTAGTTTATTCACCGCTACATGAAGTAGCGTTTTGGTAGCTTATTGTCATTTTTTCCAATTATAACCCTCATTAATATTAACTATTATTTATTACTATTAATTATAAATAAATATTACTAATATTAATTAGTAGTAAGTATTAATGAATTTTAATTGTATATTATATATTAATATTATTTACAAATTCTTTAAGATAATTATTAGTCATATTAATTATTTTTATATTATCATTTTTTAATTATTATTCARTATATTTAGTTATAAAAATGCAAATATAATTTTTTTAACAATGTTTATGTAACATAAAAATTAAAGTTATGTTTATTTTGTTTATTAGATAATAAAAATGTATTATATAATTTGAATAAAATATTTAATTTAATTACTAAATAGAAATTTTTTAACTATTAATTAATTATTTGAGGTAGACCACTTTTATTTTTATTCATGTTGTATGTAATGGTTATTTAAAATCATAAATAATAGATTTTTCTAAAATTTGTTTTAACAAATCCAAATATTATTATATATATATAACATATAATAATCAATTTGAAATTCTTTTAATCAATATATTATATTTTTTTAATTTTATTTTACTATCTTGTTTTAGTTAATATATTATATTACTAGAGATTTATTTTAATTATATTTTGAAATATTATAACTGATTAATTTTTTAAGATGTCCTTTTTGGTCATTTTACAATCTTATCAGCTAGTTTTGCCAAACATGATATATTCATCAGCTAGCTTATCAGCTACGAACTAAATTATCAGCTACCAGCTAGCTTATCAGCTACGAACTAGATTATCAACTACCAGCTAGCTTATCAGCTACGAACTAGATTATCAGCTACCAGCTAGCTTATCAGCCATCAACTAGCTTATCAGTTACAAGCTAGCTTATCAGTTACAAGCTAGCTTATCAGTTACAAGCTAGCTTATCAGCTAGTTTGCCAAACATAAACTTAGAGTAACTGGAAGAAGACTCATCCACGGCCTCAAAGTCAGGTTCTGTAAGAACACAGCTACTATGTTTAGAGTTAGCAGACTGTTTTCCTACCTTTTTTATTTACTGTTTGGTTTACTTATACTATTGGTGGTCGGTCCTTGAATAAATGTACTATGAATTCAGGGAAAATAATATGAATCCCCATAACAACCATATGTTCTAATTACTGTTTGATTTTTCGTTTACTGCTGTTATTATTTATTCATGATTATTGATCCTAAACCAATCAATTATTCTAATTACATGACAATGGGGGGAATCTACAACAACCAGCACTAGAAATGAAATAAAGTTTTCAGTCAGGGACTATATTCCAATTCAGTCATATGGAGTACTCCTTCTGTTACAAAGTGTTAAAAATGTAAGTATTACATTGAAGATTGAACCCGTAATTGTTATAAATTCTTATTACATTACCCTTGTAATTTAAGCAATCTTTGAACTTTCTTCACAAATAGGAAGAGTGGCAAATGGATAGAAGAAGTACTAATTAGATGCTCCTAAATTAGCTTAAACAGCCAACACTCGGAAAAAGTAGAAGAATCTTAAAGCGACCAGCATATTGAGAAGAAGAAATCTGTATCCCAAAAAGGCAAACAGATAGAAGGTTGTGTAGGCACAACAGATAAGAGGTTTTACAGAAAAAGAGACCACTGACTGTATACGAACTTGCTACTCCTTTTTAAAATATGTTGTTTGTTGGTAATGTTTTGCTATAGTTTTTCTCACAGTTCTAGTTTTTTTTTTCATCTTACTAGATTGAGACATTTCAAAAATAGGGATCAATAAATCCATGAATGCCTAGCATTTTTGCTGCGAATAGTCAGCAAAAGACAAGAACCTTAATTTGCATGGTTCACCCAAGCTCTACATCTAAGGGCAATGGAATGAGCATTCACTATATAAGAAAAGCAATATAAATAGAGAATACCAAATGAATAAGTGATGTGTGTAACCCTAAAAAACAGGAGGAATTTATGGACTTGATCCATGACTCCAATACGAATGCAATTGTACTAGGAGTCTGACTCAAACAAATAAATCTTAATTGTAGACAGATAAGGAATTTCTTAATATTTATATCCCACAAATTTGTACGCCTCTTTGAGATCTTTGCCCTAAGCTGATTGCAGTACGTGATGTAGGGTCCAGAACTAAATGAAGACTCTTATTTGAGTTAAAATTCAGAAAATGTTAACAGTTTTCCCTACACAGACAAAAGAAGTCGACTAACCGGCATTAAAACAAGCATTCCAGAATGCTTCTCGCTAACTCAACTGTGGCTAGTTTATCTCAGCCCTACAAAGTGATAACTCAACTGTGGCTAGTTTATACTTCCTCAACTCCAGTTTTAGAGAGTATGAATGATGATGACAGTTAATATTTGCCAATATCTAACAGTGTTCAGCACATACACCCCTAAACTAACATTGGATTTCCCATTTGGGTTTTGTGATAGATGGTTCATTGACAACTAACCTTGCAATCTGCCTAGAATAGCACCAGTACCAAACCCAGCAATTGCCGAGTCAAAAAGATCATCAGGCTCTGAATGCCTGCTAGCTCTTACGATCTCCCGAGCACCTGTCATCAAAGGAAACAAGTTAAAAACCTCAAGGTCCCATTCACTTTAATCATGTTCTTCCATCAAGTACATTTCTCCATTTTGTTATTCATTTCTCCTTGAACCAAGTAAATGGGTCCCAAAATCACATTTTTATTCTTCTTATGTTGGGATTCAAAATAGAATGTTAAAAGAAAAAACGAATGTGATCCAATATTCTCAGAAGCCATTATAATTAAAGCTAGATACATCTTCAATCATCTCCTACGCGGTCCTACAAAATACATCCATGACAGCCCATCTGGTACTAAACGCCATGGTTCTGAAAGTGAATCAGATCTGGACTGTTAGGGGGAGTTGTGCAAGAGGGAGGCCACGCAAACCAGATCACTCTATACTTCTTACACTTGCTCAATCTCTAAAGCTAATTCGGAAACTATGGAATGGAAGTAAAGCCTGACGAACCACACACTCAATAACCCCAAAACGTCCATATGTCCCAACAAAGCTACTAAATCACTACTTCTGGTAAACGAACACCAAAGTCTGGTGGTCCAGATAGCACTCATATTCATAGCAAACAAAAAACAAGATATGATTTGAATACTCAGAGAATTTATAGTTTAAAAGTTAATTTCTTCTTAGGGGTAACTTCCCCAGTGATAACACCATCATCCATAATAAGAGATCTTTTAACGAAGTAACAGCTATCCTAGTGACATTAAGTCAAAGGCATCCCTTCCCACCATTGCAAAGACGACAGTCTTGATGCATAAGTATTTCCCCAACTAGTAGCATCAGTCTTACAGTTCATAAGGCTATAAGCTATGACCAATATTATTTCCTCGATAGCAAATCATAAAGATGGTTCTCAGTATGGATATAGAAACAAAACAAATAGATACAATACAACAAAAGAAGATGATGGTTTACCACAATAGCAGCCAGTGACTATGGCAAGATTAGTGGCATAAGTTGCAGACATATTTGCAAGGCCGTGTACCTTCCGATGTCTTGATACTAATCCAATTCCTCCTCCCACGATTCCTAATCAAGAAACATATATTCAAAACATAGCTACATCACACTTTTTGGGTGTGTTTGGGAACTTTACTTCCATGGATTGAAACTCAAATTGGAGTAAATGCATTAAAATTTTGAAGTAAATGAACTCCAACAACGATTCCAAACCATAATTTCTATCATCCCAAACACAACCTTAGAAACTCTCTATGAATCGTTCTTCAAAAATATAAAAAAACTACGAGCATAAACAGTGAGACAGCAAAAATACACGATATGTAGTAGTTTTTTTTTTGTTAATTTAATCAATATCCTACCGCAAATTCAAAACTAAAAACTAAAAGACGAAAAGCCAACTGTAAGAACTATAATTGCAATATCAACTTCACCATGATCTCTGAACTAGTTTCGGCATAAAAGAAAACACTATTTTCGAGCACAAATCATATAAAAACGATACAACTAATCAAATACACATAATCTTAAATGTTCGATCCTTTGCTGCTGTTCATATTCAATAAATCTATTGCAAAAACAAAATTAAATCAAATGAATTTGGGAAAAGAACCTCCGAGGAGAGTAGGATAGAGAATGCGACTTCCCCAACTGATTCCGTCTTCTTCTAGGGTTTTAATTCCATTGGTCGACTCCATTTCCGAGCATCCTCTCAAGTCTCAGATCCCAAATGTTGATTGAGGTGCTTTTTTCAAGTTCATACTCGAATCGGCCGACTAAATGCAGGTCCGGTTTAATAATCAGAAGCAAATTGGGCCGGTTCAATATGTAAACCAAATGGCCCAAAACATTACCAACCCAAAAGCTCTCATTTTAAACATTTTATCCAACATAAATTATTATTATTTTATTAACCTGGATATCCAACCCGCTATGCGAGCCGACTAATTCCAGAACGACCACATGTTTTGCAAATAGCCCGTAGTCACCGTATTTGAACCTCTGTAGCCACAAGAGGATTTTTATTCCTCCTTGAATTTGAACCTAAGACCTCCTTGTACTTTTGACCTTAGAAGTCAAGCTCAAACAAATCAGACACCACCCTTGTGGTTTATTAATATTGTGTTCGGTTGTCGGACAGGTGGGGAATGTTGGGTGAACCAGAAAATTTTGGGTAGAACTGGATCTAAGCGTTAGCTAGGTAAGCGCCTTGTAGTAAGATGAGTGGTTATGAACCCTACAGACCATCCACATAATTGTATGATGATGGTGACTTGTTGATTGATATCCAACTTGTCATTCTGATGGTTGTCTTATCATACTAAAGGTTTCTCTGGGGTGCTATCCCCTGGATGCGTGTTCTTGTTAGTGGGTTTATGGTCGGTTGTTTGTTGCTTTCGTCGTGTTGGATCCCCGGTGTAGGTTTTTGTTGGGTTTCGGTTATGACCACCCTCCTTTATATGCCTTATAGATGGTCGGTTGGTTTTTTTAGTCAGGTTTTGTGTTGTCGATCATGTTTGTAGGACCGTAACGGTATGATGCTCCGGACATAACAGGAAGGCATTTGAATGATAAATACCAAGAATGACAATTTTATACCAAAATAAATCAGTCAATATATGTACCAATCTTACCAATTAAATTGATACTAATTACTGTCGGTTGAAGATACTATACGAAGTATGCAAACTTGGTTGATACACAATATTGGAAGTCATATACCACAGTAGTACCATGCTACCGACTTAATTAATTATTTATTAGGTTCTATATCTTTTATGTATTGAATATTAAACATTGTAACTTTAACTATTTTATTTAAACATTTGAATGTTCGCAAATTTTATTCCTTGCAATTAAAAGCACATAAACATCACATGTGTTACTTGGAAACTCAAAGTTTGAATAAAATGACAAATTTCATATATGTAACTTGAAGTTGGCACCAATCAAGTACCAACATGAAAAAGTTGGTACAAAATGTAGTTGGTTTGTACGTATATATGATTTCGCATAATCTATACTATATTATTATAAAACATTTGATAAAAAAAAATTAAATTTTTTTCTTTATGCATGAAGTATTGTGTATTAATGCATATTACTTAAAATTTAATATTACATGTAAATTATGCGTAAATACAACTTATTAAAACTTTATTTTTATTCGTATAACTAACTGTAGATAAATCAAATATAAGATAAATATCTCATTTTAAATATAAGAAATCTAAAATATAATTAAGATAATCACTGAGTTATAACTTAATCACTATATTTATAAAAAATTTATTGTTAAGCCAAAAAAAATTACTTCCCTATTTGACCTAAATTAAATTATATTAAATAATTGAATTAAAAAAATTGTAAAAAAAACGAGAACTTTTGAATAGTTAATTTGATATTAATATCGATATATTTTTTAAAATTTTTATGATGTCTTCAAATTTATTTTTAAAAGTAAAAACATTATCTTTCTTAAAATCACATAAACCGTATTGTATCAACAAAGACAAAAAATAAAATGAAACATTAAAATGAAGACGTATCTCGCTGCATTGCGCGAATACCCTTCTAGTACAATTATAATTGGTTGGTAGTGTACCAAGTCCAACCCCATTTAAGGGGTGTTTGAGATTGCTTATAAAAACAACTTATTGACTTATTCCGGCATGACACCGGTAATAAGTATTTTTGAGTGTTTGAATAAACAACTTAATTATACCGGTGCCAAACCGATAATAAGAAGTTTTTGAAAAAGTTAAACCTTACTAACTTATAATAAGTTGATAAACACTTTTATAAAAAAGCATAAGTTGTTTCAAATAAGCAATCCCAAACACCCCCTTAATTTGAATATGCACCTATATATAAATCATCCTACAATAAGAGTTGGTTTTTGGTAAGAATAATAGTTATCATGAGAAGGATAAGAAATGATCTCCATCATTTGGATCAATCCTAATTGAAGATCAATTGAAAATACCCTTCTAAGCTAATTATGGGTTATTTTTGAGACTTAAGGGGACGTTTACCAAAACACTTACCCGGTAAGCACTTATCGGTAAAATTCAACATTATTGTTTACTTTCCGGATAAGATTTTATTCACTAAAACGCATCGTATGCAACAATTTATCCCGGTAAGCGCTAACCATGGTAAGAGTCATCGTCCTTACTTACCGGGTAAGACTCTCGATTCTTGCCTTCGCTCTTACCGGGTAAGATTTTTAGTCATTGTCATATTCATCCGGTAAAGCAAAATGACTTGGTAAGCGCTTACCGGATAAGCGTTTGGTAAACGACACCTTAATGGTTCAGATTAGGTCAGTAGCAATTAAAAGTAATCAAAGGTTCAAATCTCTTCTTACAATTATCACCTTAACTCCTATTCTCACACTATCCTTCGTCCCTACAAACAAAAGACGATAAGTAAACTTGGTTAGCGAAAAACGATTGCCAAATCACATAAAACACCACATATTCAACACCACAATCGTATTGAAAAATCAAACAATGTAACAAAACGCTCCGTCTATGTACAAATAAATGAGCGAAAAAATTCTTGTTTCGAACGACGTCGTTCCCACCAGCTACAAAAATCAGCGTTGGCGTGGTATAAATTATCGATAAAATAAAATAATAAATAAAAATCATCAAGCTGCTGATGCATCTGCATCATCAGAACCTGAGTAACCATTTCCCCTTTCCGAGTCACTATTGTTCTGTTGCTGATGCTCAAACTTCATCCTGGAACTAACCCTTCTCTGGTTCTCTGGCAAAATGAATCAGAATTTCATTTCTCAACACACATAACCAAATATGCTATAAGTTTAGCTGGTTTTTCAATTAGAGTCGGGTTCAAACGAGACCAATAACCAAATAAAAGAACATGAAAACAGCCAAATCACATGTGAATTTACATTAGTCTCATGTTGCAAATTCACACGTGATTACGTGAGACCTTGCCTCTGACCTAGGTTGCAGGCCAAGTCGCCCACACACCGTTGCATTGGTCGTGTTCCACAATCACATTGTGATTTCGGTGAATCACATGTGATTTGGCAGTTCTAGTGTTCTCTTATTTTGACCATGTTCTCGTTTGATCCTCCCTCTTTTCAATTAAATATGAAGCAAATATGATTACTTTTGCTGTTGATTGCAGTGCGAGTCATTGTTAAGAACTCGTCCCAACTCAGTTTACTCAGTTCAGCTTTTTGTTCGATTGTGAGCTCGAAGTTTGGTTCCCTCCCACACATGAAAGCAGCCCTGCAAGAAACAAAAATTAAACCTGAAAGTGCAAATGATAAAATGGTCCTTTTATGTGTGAACCATCAGCTGTTGGAAATGGGGCCAAAACGACTGTTTTTGACGATCAAAAAGAAGCTTCATTTTTATCTTTTAAAGTCTTGTAAAAGGTGTGGGAATATGTGAAACCTCATTAGATTACTCTCGATAAGATCCCTTGAGGAGAGGAGAGAAAAGAGGTTCCATCATATAGAGGAGAAAGGCAAAATTGTAACCTTCCCACGGCATATAAGCTACTAATACGTTTCCCACCGAAGCAAGTTCGGGTCCAATTCTAGCCGAGGCAGGACTCCAACATCCTCCCTCCAAGGCTCCAATGGAGGTTGGACGGACACGGATTGTCCTAGAGTGCCGAGTCCCTAAAGTGGTAGACCTTAACTCTGATACCATGTAAAAATATGTGAAACAGAGGTTGGACGGGAACAAATTGTCCTAGAGTGTCGAGAGGGTGCTAGATGGGTACAGATTGCCCTAGACTGTCAAGTCCCTAGAGTAGTAAACCTTAGCTCTGATATCATGCGAAGATATGTGAAATAGAGGTTGGGCGGGCGAAGATTGTCCTAGAGTGTAAAGAGGGTGCTAGACGGGTGCAAATTACCCTCGAGTGTCAAGTCCTTAGAGTGGTAAACCTTAGTTTTGATACGAAGTGAAAATATCCAAAACAAAGGTTAGACGGGCACAAATTGTACTAGAGTCGAGAGGGTGCTAGATGGGTATAGATTACCCTAGAGTGTTGAGTCCCTACAGTGGTAGACCTTAGCTCATGGTACCATGTGAAAATATGTGAAACAAAGGCTAGATGGGCACAAATTGTCCTCAAGAATCGAGAGGGTGCTAGATGGGTACAAATTGCCCGAGAGTGTCAAATCCCTAGAGTGGTAGGCCTTAGCGCCAATACCATGAGAAAACATGTGAAACAAAGGCTAGACAGGCACAACTTATCCTAGAGTGTCGAGAGGGTGTTAGACGTGTACAGATTGCCCCAGAGTGTCAAGTCCCTAAGTGGTAGATCTTAACTCTAATACCATGTGAAAATATGTGAAACATAGGCTAGACAAGCACAGATTGTCCTAGAGTGTCAAGAAGGTGCTAGACTGGTACAAATCACCCTACAGTGTCAAGTCCCTAAAGTGGTAGACCTCGACTTTGATACCATGTAAGAATATGTGGAACCCTAACCCCATTAGAATTACTCTCCAAAAGAGCACTTGAAGATTCCCATCATATATCGAGGAGAAAGGGTCAAACTCTAGCCTATATGGAACTTCAACAAACTAGTATTTATTTTGTTTCTTGAAGCATTACTATATTCAAGAATTGTATATAAGAATCTTTGCAATAATGGTCTACTAATTCACATAACCAGTTTCTTCCAAACCTTTTTTTTGGAAGGGTGTCCCGGGCTATGCCCAAACTAATCCTGACAAATTGCGACTGTAAGACATCACCCTTGATAAACTAAGCGGCCACAATTGTTATGGACACCTGGAATTGAACCCAAATAGGATATTCCACCACATCCCCCTGGGCCTCAACCACTACGCCAAAACCCTTGTGGTTTTCCTCCAAACCTTGGTCAAGGAGAAAAAACCCAAATCGAGCTCCATATCCAACAGGCGAACCACATGTCATTTATCTTTTCCTATTAATATTATGTGTTCGTGATGTCGACATCTCGTGATTCTAACATCAACAATTACCTGTCATACAAGCGGGCAGCTTCCTCTTGAGAGCTCACCGTGCCCAGATGGATTTGCTTCTTGTCAACTTTGATTGCAGCCTGCCATTTCATGTTTTTGTAATATACCCCTCTCATTACGCACGCTTCTTGGTTCTCGAAATTCTTCCTTCTGTGTCTTTTTCGTCTCTTGAACTCTGGGACTAACAAAAATGATCATATTAAAGAGAAAAAAGCAACGGACAAAGAGACTTCTTGAAAATGTAAATAACTTTTAATGAAGAGACTTGTATATATGTGGATAGAAAACTTGGGAAGTGAATTTCCATCACCCAGAACTTCCATCATGCAGGTTTGTTCATAACTTCATATGGTGTGTACTAGAAATGCACAAGGCCCGGGCTTTTCGGGCATGGGCCTTCCGAGCCCATTTTCAGTGAGCAAAAAAGGCTTGGGCTTTTTTAATCCCGAGCCGAGCGAGGCTTTGGGGTTGAAAAATGGCCCAATTGGGATTTTTCAGACTGGGATTTTCCAAATTGGGCTTTTTCGGGCCCAAAATTTCGGCCTGATCGGGATTTGAGGCCTAGCTAGACCGGGCTTCGGGCTTACTAGGCCCAGGATTTTTCAGGGCGTGCTCACTTCGGGCTCAGGCTTTTTTGGGCATCTCTATGTGTGACTATGGGTACCATGTTCTTGATCCAGCAAGAAACGAACATAGTCCCAAAAAATGAAGGAAGAATGGAGGAAAATGATAATGAATTGTTTTTAGCCTTCATTTATCCTTTTCTCCGTTTTGTTCATCTCTCAAATCAAGTAAGACCCACAATCACATCTTAAATGTAAATTATCCCCACAAATAAACCAAACCGAACCAAGCTAGCCCGATAGATAGGCCCCACAAATGAAAACTATGAATCTTCGCTATATATGATCATATAAATTTAGCATATTTGTCTTTCTCTTTTTCTATCTGTATTGCTATAATTTACCGATATCTAGCTTTTCAAATTTTGGCATATCTGTATTTATCCCTTTCACACACTTTTTACTAGCCAGGGGTCTTCACAGAAACAACCGCTCTACTATGTCGGGTAGAAATCAGGTTTGTGTACATTTTACCCCCCCCCAGCCGGACTTGGGCAACCGATCGTGCTTTGAACTAGGATTAGTGAGCTGCACGCCTAGATGGTGTTGCGAGACACACAAGACCACGTTGTCAGCTTGCCTCGGCCCGTAGCACCACGTCCTTGGCACGTCTCGTCGCTCGCATAACTTGGCAACTCGACGCGCTTTGAACAAGGATCACCAGGCAGTTAGGATATATTGGGCTCCTTTGGTTCAAACCAGAGGCAAGACAATATTGAACTTGTGGATGATATGGTATCAGACATGTTCTTAAACCGTATGGCAAGTTCAATGTCATATTTTTTACCGGACGGGCCTAGATGGTATCGTCTATTTTCCAAAGATAAAATGATCTCCTTACCGAGTTTCTATTTATCTAGAACAAAAGTCTGAACTTTTTTCTTGAACCAAAAGGGAAAATGGCAAGATGGAATAGATTTAATGAATCTTATTCAACTAAGGGGCCATTTACTTATCACTTACCGGGTAAGTGCTTACCTTACCGATTGAGCATGTAAAGGATCAAGAATCCTACCCAGTAAGAGGCATAGCAAGGACCGAGAGTCTTACCCTGTAGGTGAGGGAAAAGACTCTTGCCCGGTTAGCGCTTACCGGGTTTCAGAGGCTTACCAACAATCCATTATGATGGCTGACGTCTCTTGCCCGCAAGCGCTTACCCAATAAGCGCTTGGTAACATCCCCTAAGAAAAGACGGCATAATGACTAGTGAGTAACTTCAAAACCGTAAAGAAACAGACCTGGATGTGGAACCGGCTGCTTATTAGATGAGCTAGATTCATTGACAATTGAGGGTTCAGGTTCTTCGGATTTTGTATTTTCCTGCTACACACATGGATAACATAAATGTTGTTTAATACCAAGTAACAAAAAAGAAAGTAAATTTTTACATCCCTCCTGAAGGGTAAATTTTTACATCCCTCCTGAAGGATAAATATCGTGATAAGGTAATAAGGGTAGGTTCATATGTGAATTATTGAAAAAATCCATTTGAAGATGCATATGTAACCCATATGAATAATCTGTAAATTCGATTCACATATGCATCTTCAAATAGATTTTGTCAGTGATTCACATATGAACCTCCCCTTCTTATCTTCTCACGATCTTTAGCCTTCTTATTTGAACCGACCCTGGATGCATCTTCTCACTAGCTATAAGTAGTTCAATAGACTCCTCGTCCTCCCAAAGGAAAATTGCTAGGATTTCTATACCTCGTGAAACTTGCAATCATTTCCAAGTTAAAATAACCTATTTTCCCATTATCATCGTTACAAATGACCCAATGGTGTTAATGAGGGTACATGAGATTCCTCTACTTTTTTTTTCTTCTATCGAGAGGCATTTTGGATTTCTAACAACTAGTGAAACATCTTTTCCTCAAACCATATACTAAGTCAAATATTTGCAATTTTCATAGGTTGGAAGGAATACTAAACCATTATCCTCGTTAACTTAGAGACCGTTTGGTTTGACGAAATGTTTTTGATTGATTTGGGTTTCGTGGAAAGATTTGGAATTAGAGGGATTTGGAATCTTTAGTGTGTTTGGTTTGTAAGATTCGGAATGGAATTGAATTCCATTCTTTATAGACAATTTATAAAAATAAATTATAAATAATTATATTACCTTTTATTAATTGATTATTACAAAAATGAAGGTTTTTTAAACATATTTTAAAACGTTACTACAAACAAGGGATCGTTTGGTTTAAAGGAGAGTCAATAATTGAAATCCCAGGATTTTAATGACATCCTACAAACAGTGAATATGTGTCGAGTCCCTGGAGTGGTAGACCTTGGCTCTGATATCATGTGAAATATGTGTAATCCCATTAAATTATTCTCCAAAAGAGCCCTTGAGCGCCGGAGAGAATATTGGTTCCATCATATACTGAGAAGAAATAGTCCAAAGTCTAGCCGATGTGGGACTCCCAAAAATATAATGTTCGTTACAAAAGATAAGCATTAAGCCACGATTTCCATGCTTACCTCGTCAGGCTGGTCAAAGTCAACCGGAGGCGAAGGATGCATGCCAGCCAATCTTGTGCTTTGCATCCAATTTCCAGGTGATTGCCCATTTTCATATGGTGAAAGAAAATCAAGAAAAGGGCTTCTCCCTAAATTTTACCATTGAATATCATCAATAAATGATAAAGGAAAAAGAAAAAAATAAGACAGTTGTTAACAATTTCAAGTTCTATACACAAAAATGTAAACCGAATACTCTGTTAAAAAAACATATAACTCGGTGTCGACCTACCATAAAGTTTGATAAGTCTTTGTCTACGGATGCTCACCATATTGTCTTAAGCAGATCCTAGCATCATTCAAAAAACAAGAATTTAACTTATGCACCGAGAGAAATAGAAGAACAAGGCTGATGGATACAACAAGGGCATGCTCTCATATTTTGTTACATGAATGATTTTCCAGATATAAGAAAGCAAAAAAAGAGCTTTTTATGATTACAACAAGAAGATCAAGTTCTACCATAAGCATAGCCATTGCATACAACAAGATTGTCAAGATGTTAGACAACAATTCTAGAGGTCTCTATTAGTTGACATTGTGAATTTTGAATGTCAAACAAGTATTCCAATTTCATAAAATATCAAGTTTTCTGAGGAAAAACCAATAGCTACAACAGATGGAACAAAATGTATTAAACCAAACCAAACAAACCCGATATATCCCACTTGAAGGTAAGGATGGTGGGGGATGTACACAGACCTGACTTCTATCCCAAAGAGTATAGCGGTTGTTTCCATGAAAACCTTTGGCTTGTGAAAAGTGTGATGGTGATAGAAAGACAGATAAGATAAATTTTGAAAAGTTGGTTAAGAATACAGGAAAAGCATAACCAATTTGAAGAGCAAGAAGTATTATTAACCGGAAAAATTAATAGGTCTTGAAATTAGAAAATAATTTATGATTGTTATATGTATGACAAATACAAACTCGAAATTCGAAGTAAAAGAATGACAGCTATATGTGAACCAAGGGAAGACTTATTACTATTTCCTTTAAATTTGAAATAATTGTACTAAGTAAGTGTATCCAACATGCTTATACTAATCAAGACCTTAAACCCCCTTTCTACCCTTTATGCACATTTGTATTAAGCATTGTCTTTCATGCATGTATGTGTGCACATATACTTTTCACGGCATGCTACTGCTGAATCGGGCACAGAATCGCTACTTCAGGGACGAACAAGGGTCTAATAATGCTATCTAGTTCAAAGATAAGACCAGTGAGGCATTTCATCGAACACGGGTGGCTCGTATTCAAGATTCACAAAAAGAATGGTCTTGCCTAATAAAGAAACGCCTACATAGTGAGAGAAAAAAATCCAAGTCAACCCAGTAATCCTTTCACATTTCATGGCTGATCTACCTATTTCTAATAAGGGTTAAAGAAACACAACATTTCATGGCATATCTACCTATTTCTAATAAGGGTTAAAGAAACACAAAACCCCCCAAAAGAATTTCAAGATCATAATAGAAAATGTGACAGAATCTTTGCACCTGTTCATAATTCAAACCCCCCCCCCCCAAAAAAAAACGAATTCAACACCATTCTGTGTATGTTTTCTTGAATTAAGCAAATAAAATCAAAACAACACACACAATGAACCAAACATCATACCAAATAGAGATACGATGTCAATCAGATAAACCAAATAACTACAATGCCAAAAAAGACCCAAATTGTCTTCGAAAACGCAAGTCAACCTACCACCTTTCATGGACGGAATACAAGAAACCAAAGTTTTACCCCTTAGTTGCCAATCGATCAAGTAAACCTCACAAACCATAGAGCTTAAAAATACATAAAATCTCAAAATACATAATCATATCAATCTAGAAACGAATGCATTTAGGATAAAAAGGGAACAATTATGAAGAAGGAGATGAAAACCCCTTGTGGAAAAGAAGCTACAACAGAGTGGTGGGTGATTTTAGTAGAGACCTGAGAAGGTGGCGGAAGGAAGGAGCGAAAAAACCAAGAGAGGTGCGGTATGGAAACTGGGTTTTAATCCAATTTGGTGGTTTACGAAGGCAGGGTGGTGAGGTTGGAGAGAGAAAGTTGGGATTTTGGATTTTTGGTGTAGAGATTAGCCTCAAAGGGCACAGAGGGGTGTCCAAGTTGGCAAGAACTTTTGGTATTTTATTTTATATTTTAGTTCCCATCTTTTTGGTATTATTACCCAATTGTTCAATTATTAAGGTTTTTCAATCAAATTCAGTTGATTAAAGACCATGTATCTTTTGGGAGGAGTTAACCCAATATATTATATAGAGAATATTATAAATTAAAATTTTAATTCAAAGATATTTTAGGCGTTTTCTTTTCTCTCTACTCTCTTCCCTCTCTCTCTCTCTCCCCTATCCTCCGGCCACCATCCTCCAGTGATACCACTGTAATACCTAAAAATATTGACTATGTCAAACAAAAGACGTATTGTGATACCCGAGCACATATAAGATGCATTGTGATACCATTGTGTTACATCTCTGATCGACCACATAAACAACCTCATTATGATACCCAAGCACATATAAGATGCATTGTGAATTGTGATACCACTGTTGTATCACCGGAGGACGGTGGCCGGAGGGAGAAGAGAGGAGAGAGAAGATAAAATACCTAAAATGTTCTTGGATTAAAATTTCAATTCAAAATTACCAAAATTATAAATTTTCTAATTTATCTGTTGATTTGTGGTTGAAATTGAATCACACGGTTACCACAAACTAATTAATACCCATTTGATTAGACCTATATATATATATATATATATATATATATATATATATATACGGTTTGATCAATTAAGCTGCCAAATTGAAAACCAGACCAAACTACATGGCTTAGCTATTTTCAAACCAAATGCACCGTTAAAGTAGCAAAAACCAATCCACTTTAATTTGGTTCAATTGGTTTTAACGATATTTGCCTAAAAAAACATTGTTTAATTTGGTTCGACAAGCATTTGTAGTCCTTTGTTCTCATGGACACACTCTTCTTACCAGTTCTGTACCAACACCTATCAAAATTAAAACCTTTATTTTTATATTGTCAACATTATATCCTGATATAAAAAAAAATTCAAATAATACGTAGATGGTTCACTTGGCATAAAAAAGGAATCATTTAAACTCATCCAGAATGTATACCAAAAAAACAGTAACATTTCATTAAATTCCAGTTACTGAATCATAAGATGTGAGGATATAAAATTTATAATGCATGCAAACTGTATTAAAATGAAACAAAAATATTAAAGAACTGTTTTCATTTTTTTATAAAGTTATAATACTTTTCATTTTTTTTTTTAACTAAGCACTTATCCGGTAAGCGCTTAACGATAAAATTCAACTTTATTGCTTACTTACCAGGTAAAATTTTAATATACTAAAACGACATTGTATGTAACAATTTATCCAGTAAGCGCTAACCATGGTAAGAGTCATCGTCATCACTTACCGGGTAAGACTCATAGTCTTGTCTTCGCTCTTATCATGTAAGATTTTTGGTCATTGCCATATTCATCCGATAAGAAAATGTGACTTGGTAAGCGCTTACCCGGGTAAGCATTTGGTAAATGACCCCTAAATTACAGTATATCATCTTAACCGTATCAAATATATAATACATTCTTTTAATTGCATAAAATATACAATACGTTCTCCAAATAAAAACTTTTGAAGGTACATTTGCTAAAATTCAAACCGAAACAAAACATGCTATATTTTGATAAAACTTGCTCTTTATAATAAGATTAACATGACTGAAACGTATATACATTATACTTATTATTATTTTTTATTATCTATACTATATTATAAAGTCATTGACAAATACTTTTAAAAATCATTTTTTATGTATGAAATACTGTTTATCAATGCATATTACTTAAAATTAGAGGTTACAAGTAAATTGTGCGTAAGTACAACTTATTAAAGCTATATGTTTGAATTCGTGTAACTAACTGCAGATAAACATAATCAACTACATGATAACACATCCCATTTTAAATCTAAAATATAATTAGGATAATCATTGAGTTATACTTGTAACAAAATATTTAATTATAATCTTTATAAAAAATATATTATTAAACCAAAATAAAATGCTTCATTATTAAACCTAAATTAAATTATAATAAAAGATTTGAATCATATAAATTACATAAAGAACGATAATTTTTAAATAGTTAATTTGATACTAATATCGATATATTTCTTTCAAATTTTTATGAATAAAAACATTATCGTTTTCTCAAAATCACGTAAAAACGTATTATGTCAACATAGACAAAAAATAAAATGAAAAATTATCCCGATGTAATAAAATATCAAAGGCATTATCACGAACTTATCTCAAATAAGCTGCATACATCACTATACTTTCACTTGACATAAAGTAAAATACAAAAATCGTCTTAATATTTCGTCGATTTTTTATCATCGTATTAACTAACTTTCATATTTTTATAAAATGCATCTGAATTTTGATAATTTTTTATTAAAAAAAATGATCATGAAAATATTCACATTCAAACATTGTTGAAAAATAAAACTTAAATTTCCATGAATTACCTAAAAAATTATTTATTTTAATATAAGTTTTTTTAAAAGTTTTTATCATATATTTTTTAATGTGAATTAAGATATAAATGAATTATATATTTTTGGTTGCTTTTGCTTGAATTTTTCTTTATTTGGGAAAATTAACAAGTTAGATTTATGTGGTTGCATTTTTTATGAGTTCAATCTGTAATTCAAATCATAGGACTCCAACTTGTTAAATAATTGCACTACAAATATTCAACTTTTTGAAAGAAAAGGGTAAAAAGGTAATTTGGTTTTCAAAGTTGATAAGAAGTTTTTGATAAGTTAAGTTGTTTCTGATAAGTTAAAAGAGAGTGACTTATCAAAAACTTCTTATTACCGGTTTGACATCGATATAAACATTTTTTTTTCATTTAAACACTAAAAACTTCTTATTACTAATACCATACCGGATTACGACAATAAACATTTTAAATAAGTAATCCCACACACCCCTTCTCCGTCGTCTTCTTCCCCCTTATCCTCTTACCCTTGACAACCACCATCTATCGAACCAGATATGGGAAGAAACCCGTCTTCTTCCTCTACACCACCACCTGCAAAATGAACCCCTTGTCCTTTTCAATCCACAAAACAAGTTTCTTAGACGAAAAACATCAACGAAAATTAATTTTAAATCCATTATTTGTTTATTCATGAAACTGATTCATCAATCAAATGGATTCTCATCGGTTAGCTCCGACAACCATTTTTTTTTTTAAATGACGAACCTGTTGCATTTGGTCTATCACCCCCAACCCATCATCGGTGATTGGCCCTTGCAATTGGTTTCTCTTTTTCTGACTGCTCTATTTTGTTTTTCAATCCTCTTTTTTTATCTATACGCACCCTATTAAACTGTTGTGCAAGAGGAAGAATTGAAAGACAAAGAAACGTATCGAAAAGATAAATATCAATGGCAGGGCCAACGACGACATGAGCTGTATGGAGTACAAATGACGATGGGCGGTGCAAGGATTTGAAAATGATGAACCTCATCTAGGTTTTTTTTTACTTTAAAATCCTCATAGCTGGTTACAGTTAGTATTTTTGAGTTAAAAATTATGTAGGTAACCAATTTTAAAAATTTCGATGATTTATTTATTCAAATGAAATATTCATGAATTTAATCATTTAAAATTTTAATAATTTATTCGTTAAAAATTAATTTAAAGACTTAGGGGTTGTTCAATTCGGTTTTTATTAAGTTCTGTATGAATTAAGTTGTATGTATTAAGTAAGTTGTGTGTATGATTAAAGATAATTTTTTGTTCGTTTGTTATGTTGGATAAATAGTCTGAATGTTTGAAATAACAGTTTCAGTCATCAGTCTATGTCAAATACTRATTAAAATAACTGTTTGATAATAATGATAGAATGGTTGACTTTGAAATCAATCCTCACATATCCTTTTTTTACATACTAAAAATGCACCTAATGGATTCAATTTTCTAAACTCGGCTCATCTTCTCAATCTGTGTTGAGCCCCTCATTTTGCTTCGTGAATTTCCAGTAGTAGATCATGAATTTCAAAACCCAGTTCTTGACTTCTTGATTTTCAAACACAGTTCAATCGTTTTGAAATTCAAAAACCAAAAGGATTTTCTATCTGTGTTGAGCCACTCAAGCGTTTTCAAAACATATCGAGAAATCAACAAACGATTGATTTCAAAAACCAAAGGATTGATTTTTTTGGTTTCATTCACAAATTCTTGATTTCCTGATTTTCAAAACGAATTTCCAACAACAAAATTTAGAGTCCCGTCATAAATCCCTTTTAGGTTAAACATTAGAACATACAAAACTCAGATTCAGAAAGAATAAAGATTTACAAGCTTAATTGGAGCTTTAGGTTAAAAAACCAAAGAACAAAGGAGCGACGAGGGAGATGGATGGGGAGAACAACACTCAGAAGCGGTGCTTAACCGTGGGTAGGAGAGTGCAGGCTTCGATGTAAGAAGAAACGCGTAAGGGAGCATTTGTCTCAAATCTCGATGTAAGAAGACTGATGAGAAGGGAGGTCTACAGTGGTGGTATGGAAATGATCAGTGTGGCTTGGAGATGACCGGTGACCGCCGGAAGGTTTGAGATGCTGGAAGAGACTAGTGAGCTTTTCTTTTGTGGAGGATCGTTTTTAACAAAGGGCATATTTGGACTAATTATAGCTTAATATAAAAAGACTATTTATTTTGGCGGACTGATTACCTCATTTGCTAGACGAATAAGCCACAATTGAACAATTGTTTATGGTTAAGCAAATAAACCATATAAACTATACAACTCATTAAGCCACAACCAAACAATCCCTCGATCATTTATCCATTAGGATCCAGAAATTTCCTCCCTTTTTTTAACTTTATTCTAAAATCAACCATTTTTTTCACATTTTCATTATGGGGTGGGCTAAATGCACTCCTATCCATGAATTTCTTCCTTACACATATCAAAATCAATACATACTTTTTACATTTCGAATACTTGAATGACCTGATTCTGACATCAAAGGAGTGCCATTAGTGCTCCCCTTTCGTTATATCGATCGGATCTAAAGAATGAAAACAAGGAAAAGGTGTTGGGCCCACACGCCCACCGTCACATCTCATCACCTACGCTCCGTCAGTCTTCTTCCACTCATATAAATACCAACACGGTTTCGCCGGATATTTTGTCGGTTATTCAATTGCGGCAGCAGATGGCTACCTCCGGGAGCATTCAGAGCTCTCGCACTTCATTCTCCCGAAGAAACAATAGCTTTACACGACCACCGGTTGCGGTTGCCGGTGTTACATTCAGGCTGTTCGCTTCCGTTCTCTCCGTCGCCGTCTTCCTATTCTTCACAGTCTCATTCCTCTTTACCTCATCGTCTGATGTCGTTTCGTCCGATTCCAACATTGTTCGTTCTCTGTTCCTTTGACATGATTGTTGTTTATTGATAGCGTAATTAATAATGTACTAATTTGATGTGGTTATTGTAGAATATCGGGTTTTCTTTTGATACGTACGGAACTGGATCGTCTCGGAGGTCTGTGCTTGCGTTGAAATCGGATCCATTGAAACCTAGATTTGATCAGATCCGGAAGCAAGCAGATGATCACAGATCGCTTGCTCTTGCTTACGCTGCGTACGCTCGTAAGCTGAAGCTTGAGAACTCAAAACTCGTTAGGGTTTTTGCTGATCTCTCACGCAATTACACAGATCTGTTATCAAAACCTGCTTACATAGCGTTGTCTCACTCCGATGCAAACTCAATTGACGAGTCGACGCTGCGGCTGTTTGAGAAGGAGGTGAAGGAGCGGATTAAGGTGACTAGACAAGTGATTGCCGAGGCGAAAGAATCATTTGATAATCAGCTTAAGATTCAGAAGTTGAAAGATTCAATTTTCTCTGTTAATGAACAATTAACCAAGGCGAAGAAGCAAGGTGCTTTCTCGAGCTTGATCGCTGCAAAATCAATACCTAAAAGCTTGCATTGCCTCACAATGAGGTTGATGGAAGAGAGAATTGCTCATCCAGATAAGTATTCTGATGAAGGGAAGCCACGACCGGTTGAATTTGATGATCCAAAGCTTTATCACTATGCTATATTTTCCGATAATGTAATAGCTGCTTCAGTCGTGGTCAATTCGGCTGTTAAGAACACAAAAGAGCCATGGAAGCACGTTTTTCATGTTGTGACAGATAAGATGAATCTCGGAGCAATGCAAGTTATGTTCAAGATGAAGGAGTATAATGGTGCTCATATTGAAATAAAGGCAGTGGAGGATTATAAGTTTTTGAACTCTTCGTATGTTCCAGTGCTGAAACAGCTAGAATCTGCAAATCTGCAGAGGTTTTACTTTGAGAATAAGCTTGAGAATGCAACAAAGGATACAACCAATATGAAGTTTAGGAACCCCAAGTATCTGTCCATATTGAATCATCTGAGGTTCTACTTGCCAGAGATGTACCCAACACTGCACAGGGTTCTGTTCTTGGACGACGATATTATTGTTCAGAAGGATTTGACTGGGCTTTGGAAGATAGACATGGATGGGAAGGTAAATGGAGCCGTTGAGACTTGTTTTGGGTCATTCCATCGGTATTCACAATACATGAATTTTTCCCACCCTCTAATCAAGGAGAAGTTCAATCCCAAAGCCTGTGCCTGGGCTTATGGGATGAACTTTTTTGACTTGGATGCTTGGAGGAGGGAGAAGTGTACGGAAGAGTACCATTATTGGCAAAATCTGGTAAGATATATTTACGAAATATTCTGTGTAGCTTGCCAACAAATTTTAATTGCCAAAAAATAACTGTGGTTTCCAGTTTGGCCTATTACTTGCTTAAATGTAGTATATGTCTTATATGACTTTGTTATGTGGCCTGCTTAATTATAATTGTTCCCCATTATGTTTCAAGCAGGGACGGACCCAGGGGGGTTTTATGGTGGCGCCGCACGTGCCAATATTTCGTTCCTCATTTATGTTTCAACAAGTTTCCCTTTGTTGAGTTGGTTTGCAAGACTTTTCTTCCACCCCAGACCCGAGTTCGAATCCCGTTAGTGTCATTTTTCTTAGTTTTTAGCTTTTAATTTCAGATTTATTATGTTTTTAAAAAAAGTTTGCAATAAAAGACTTGAACACAGGACCTTACATATGAAAAACAATGAACTATAAAAAAAACAATGAACTAACCAACAGACCAATGATGATTTTGTGAAAAATATCTGTATATTTGTTTCTTATAGTTAAATGGTGCCACCATTTGAATTTTTTTTGGGTCCGTCCCTGATTTGAAGAACCATTTTGTACAAGGCTAACTTGCTATAGATGTCATCTGCATTATTCTATATAAGTAAGCAATTTCCTTAGAAAATCCTATTGCCAAACCTATTTTAGATTTCCTGTTGTGCTTCTTACGATATCATGAAAAATTATATCCCCATGTTTTGTTTGTTTCATATCCGTAACCAAGAATGGTGATTATGCTTTTGCAGAATGAAAACCGGACTTTATGGAAATTGGGGACACTGCCACCTGGTCTGATCACATTTTATTCCACAACTAAACCATTGGAGAAGTCTTGGCATGTTCTGGGACTTGGCTATAATCCAAGCATAAGCATGGAAGAGATCCATAATGCTGCAGTTGTGCATTTTAACGGGAATATGAAACCATGGCTTGACATTGCCATGAACCAGTTTCGCCCACTCTGGACCAAATATGTGGACTATGATATGGAGTTTGTCCAGGCCTGCAATTTTGGTCATTAAACTTATGGTGCAGTGATGGGTGAAGATAGCATGATTACCTTTACACGTAAACTGAACCCTTTATCAGATGCTGTGGAGTTCATATGTTTCCAATTCCAAGTATGATCACCATCCTTTCCTATGTTAGTTTTGAAATGTGTTTCTGAAGTGTTTATAGTTCCAGAGTTAATTTATTTTGTTATTTGTTTAGTTTATATATCAGAACAATATATACACCAGTAATCATGACTGATGCCTGCATTCCCTCTTAACATTATTATAAATGGTAAACTACAAACAGTTGGCTTAGATTGGTCATGAGTAAAATACCAAACTGCAGTAATATATCCCACCTAGAGATCGGGTCTGGGGTGAAATGTATATTGACCTTACCCTTACCTCAAAAGGGTATGGCGGCTTTTCCATAAAGACCCCCATTGGTCATGAGTGAAATGCGGAGCTTTAATCCGTACTGTTAAAGAGATCCCATCGTCATTTGTAAACCCTCTGCAAATAGGAGTCTTAAAATTCTTTTCCAATTACCTGTAAGTGTTGTTTTTTCATAGAAGACATGGGAAACCGCACCTCGGAGTCAAAGATTTGTCATCTATACTAGGCCATACACAAATCTAGGATTCGAACTCAAGATCTCTAGATTATTCTAGATGACTCCTGGTCATGACACCTCCATTGGTTGCCGGTTCGAGTCTTCTCAGGACCACTGGTGATTTTCCTGGCTATTATCTTGCAAGCCACCCTGACACCTACGGTTAAAAAATACAAGTTAAGAGAGCATTTAACCCTTGCACTTTTTTGGACCATGAACATTCTATGTTACTATAATCAAATAGTAAAAGCAATTGGTTCACACTTCACAATGGAATGGCCCAGAAGAGGTAAACGATTATGTCACACATCAGGTCCCAAAATAATTGCAACATTTTCTATTTGCAATGATTCATATTGATTGCAATATTGCATTCCTATTCTTTTGACAAATTTTCAAGGAGAACTTAGTTAACTTACCAATTTTCTTACATTATAGTTGTTGCATAAAAGTGATCATGATTTTAGTGATCTAGATTTCCCTATTTGCGATTATTGAACAATGGACACATTGAATTATATCAAAATGTTTCCATTAGATTACAGTCGTTATTTTTACTTCTTGAATGGAAAGATCTAATAAAACGACAAATCTTTGACAATCGTTATTATTATCATTTGATTCATCATAACTTTTTGGATGTTATTTAGGTATATGATTTGTTTGATTTAAATTAGATTGTTCAACATCATTTATTCAAAATGATTAACATTTTCCATTTTTTGGTCTCATATTGACTATTTGCAAGAAAGAATAAGTACATTGTTAAATGCTCCCCTACCTACTAATTTCCTCCTCACCAACATCAACATCAAGACTTACTTTTTACATTCATAATGCATGAGTTGACATGATTTTGACATAAAAGGGGTGCATATAGCTTTACCAGGGGCGGATCCAGCCTTTAAGCATTGGGGGAAAAGGCCCCAGTCAAAAACCAAAAACCTTTGTTGACTAGCTTAAATTTTATATTTTCACCCTCATCTTACATGGTTTCCTCCCAGTCCCATATGACCATATGCTTCCCTCCCCCAATCCCATCCAACGTGCCCCCACCCCATTAATTTCCTGGATCTGCCACTGAGCATTACCCATATTATGTTAACTCGTTGTGTTTTTAAATGTTTATTTGGTGTTAGGATATAATGTTTCAACTTGAAAACTATTAAACAACAAGCTTGTCTTAACTTAAACATTTACGGTCGTTTAGTTGAATCTGAATGATGTCATTCAGAACATACAGTTGATTTTGTTAGAGGTGAATCTTGTTTGGTGAAATTTTTAACATTCTTTAAATCGTTCCAACCCTCTTTGTATTACAATTCATTTCCAAGATTATCCTCCAATTCAAGAAGTCACTCCACTACTAATCCTACTCTTGCACCATGTTTTTCATAATTGCTTCACTCTCTGATTCCGCATCTTCTGAATCATCAAGATGAAGCCAAATAGTTCAAGACCTTCCAGCCTAGTGGTAAAGGCTTGGGCATGACATAGTCATGAACCCAAATTCGAGCCCTGGGAAGGGAAGTGTTGGCGACATTTAAGTGGGGCCATGTTTAGCCTCCAAAATTGCCGGGGATTAGTCGGGCTTTGGCCTGGACACCCTTAAAAAAAAGATGAAGCCAAATAACTGGTGAAGGAGGTGTTAGTGTTACTGCTCAACAATGATTAAGAAACAATACTGTAGCGATTGAATAGCAGCAACAACGTCGGTACGTAGTCTTTGTTGCTCCCATTTTACCGTCTTCGTCCTCTTCTCCTCCAACACCTTTTTCATCAATTCTTTTGCTACATCTTGATTATTATTCGAAAGATGCAAAAACAGAGAGAATCAATGATGACGATTACGAAGAGGGTTCAGGAATAGGATTAGTGGTGGACTAAAGGGGCTGTTTGGCAGTTGTTGAATGGTTTGGTACAGAATGATTAAGAGGCTCTCATGATATAGTGCAAAATGAAATATAATTGTTTGGTAATTGTTTACAATGATATTAGGGCGTTGAATGGTTAAGAGAGGCACATGATACAAAATCATTCAGAGGATTTTAGAACCATTAAGAGGTAGATCTTTTTTTGCCAAACAAGATTCACCTCTTAATAAAACTATTAAGAGGTAAACAATCATTTATGTGAAATGAAATGGTAGGTGATGCCCTAGAAAATGAGTGTGATCCAGAGAAGGTTTGGACAAATCCAACAAGATTCATTGTTGATTGATTCAGGATGTGAAGTTAAATGAAATTATGATTATTTATAGAACACATCACATTTTATTCAACACTAAAATGGTTAGTTATTTTGTCATTTATAACACTTCTCAAATGACTTTTTTTCTTTATTTTGCATTAGGTCATACATAACATCTTAATCATTGTGTCAAAACTATTTGAAAGATCTTGAATGATTTGAGGACACCTCCATTTTTGTGAAAACGTGAGAACACACCCTTATCACATGTAATAATACACGTGAGGGTACCTGGTGGCGTGCGAATGATTTGACCTGATATCTAGGTCACGCCGAAGGTCGTATGCATCTCATTTAGTATTACATGTGATGGATGATAGTATCACATTAAGAACATTCTTATCACATGTTGTAATACACGTGATGCAACCTAGTAGTGTGCTGGCGACTTGGCCCACAACCTAGGTCGCGTCAGAGATCATTCGTGCATGTGATTTAGTATTACATGTGTATCATATATAATTGACTATTGTAAAAAGTTGTTCTCGCGTTTTTGTAAAATGAAAGTATTTTTGTTTGAATGCATCCCTATATATATATATATATATATATACACACATATAGGTCTGGTCCGGTTAGAATATAATTTATAGTGATAAAGGTTTGAAGAGATCTTCACTTTTGGATCAATCCTAATTGAAGATAAACACTAATGAGATGCACCAAATCAATTCCCATGAAAAGTGTAATCCATGGATGGGGACGGGGTGAGATTAAAAGTGATCAAGGGTCTAGATACCTTCATACTTCTCACCTTAACTTTTGTTCTCATAGGATCTTTTGTCTACACACACACACACACATATATATATATATATATATATATATAGAGAGAGAGAGAGAGAGAGAGAGAGAGGTGGGGGGGTAGGTTCAAGGGAAAATCGTAAAAAAATAAAAAACTGAGTAACAATCTGGTAGCCGTTAATCTGGAAGGTATGCACACGTGCATACAAGTATTTTGTAAGCAATTTGTCCAGTATACACATGTGCGTAACGTGCATACGTGCATAAAAACCAAGAAACAACTTCAATTACTTGTCCCGATAAATGGTTACCAAGGTGTTCCTCAATTTTTTTTTAATTTTTTAGGGGTTTTTTCGTTAAACCTCTCTCTCTATGTGTGTGTGTGTGTGTGTGTATGTATGTATGTGGGGTAAAATTTTGTTGCCAAGTTATTATCAGCGTAAGCACCAAGTATTTGGATTGGAGTTATGGAGAGAGGACCATTCTTCATTTAAAATCAGCCCCTTGAACATATGATTAACTCCCATCTTCTCATATCGTAGTATGAGTTAGCTGCGGCCTTCAACAACCATACATACACTTTACCTGTTTGCCATTTTGAAATATCATTACCCCATACTAAAAGTCTTGAATGAATCAATTTTAATAACTACCATTGTGAATTGATTTTTTGACCCTCATAATCACCAAAATTGAATTTTATCCCATCACGTATATTTCTATTTCACATTTTTATATATGATATAGTTTTTTTATAAACGTAAAACCTAAAAAAGTGTTCAATCACGATTCTATTAGTTGCTTTTATAACAAACTAGTTGTGTATCGATATATGAATCTTTTCTTAGATAAAGAAATTTATAGTAAAGATGGGTGAAATATGGAAGATGGTAGTTTTAGCTCCTAGTCGACAATAGGGTATGCAAGTGCAAGAATTATTTAGAAAATTTGAGGCAAAGTTGTAATCGGTATGTGACAAAAACAAAAATGTAAACCAGGCAGATGAAGATATATGTGTTAATCTAGCATTTGATAAGGAATAAAGACAAATGGATAAAACACATGGGGCCCTACTCCATGTGTAAAAAAAGTGGCTCCGCCACTTGCATGAAGACATGATATAGATGGATGACAGAGACCCTTTTCATCCATACTTTTGTAAGACTTATGATTTTCTTCTTTCCTTATCATAGTCATCATAGTTGCATATCCTTGGGTCTAGTAAATTTTCTCTTATAGGGATTTGTCTGCTAGTGTTAGGTATATTATTAACACTAGGTATCCAATTTTCTTGTTTGTGGTGTCCAATTGGTTTGAGTTTGGACTCGAAAGGTCAAAAATGTTTGGAGGTCTCAGGTCCGAATCCAATGAAAAATAAAAATCCCCTTGTGGCCATGAAGTTCAAATACGGTGACTCCGGACAACCCGTGTAATGGATGATTGTCTTGGGATTAATCAGCTCGCATAGCGAGTTGGATATCCAGGTTAATAAAAAAATGTAATCAAAATACAAAAATAAATAAAATAAACATGATTTTATATTATATTGAAGACATTATATATTTTATACAAAAGAAAAGTAATTAAAATACAAAAGAGATAACATAAATTGTAATTTAATACCTTATTTTGGGGATATATATATATATATATATATATATATCGCAAAATTTGTGTTAAAAGTTCGTATATGTAATACATACATTTGAGAACTTGTAAAATTGTGATAACCTTAAGAATCAGTGCATCATGTGTTATTAGACATGGATTTTTTTTTTCCATCTATGGCTTGGATTAGTATATACTTGTTTGACATATAAACAATTTTTATGTAGTTATGAACAAAAAATACTATTGAAAAGTTTCACATTGTAAATTGAATACATATGAAACAAATATATATATATCAACATATTAAATTTTAACCTTAGATGATAAAGAATCTGTGAAATAATATCTTACGATAATAATTATCACAGTATATGAAAATCTCAAATGATTAAGGTCTACATACTACATACCCAATGGGTATAGACAAATATAATTTGATAATTCACTTTAACATATAAGCAATAAGATATCCAACGACGGAGGGATAGGTTCAAGCATTGGAAGGTTGGGATTGGTCAAGAGATCAATCAGTTAATTAGTTTGTGTAGGTATGTAAATTTTTATTGTAAACCAAAAATAAAAGTGAATATTCATATTTAAACAAGATAGATATTAGTACATTAGTATCAGTTATCTATACTATATTATAAAACATTTGATAAAAACCATTAAAAACCATTTTTTATACATAAAGTATTGTTTTATTAATACACATTACTTAAAATTCAAGAATACAATTAAATTGTACGTAAGTACAGTTGATTAAAGCTCCATGTTTGAATCTGTGTAACTAACAGCAGATAAACATAATCAAATAAAGATAAACATCTCATTTTAAATATATATAAAACTAAAATGTAATTAGGACAATCATTGAGTCATAACAGAATACTTAATTATTGCTTTTATAAAAAGTTAAAAACTTGTATTATTTAAGTTTAAATTAAATTATAATAAAAAAAATTGAATTCAATAAATTATTAAAAAAATGAGAACTTTTAAATAGTCAATTTGATGCTAATATTTATTTATTTTTCTCAGATTTTTCAAGATATCTTCAAGTTTATATTTTATTCAAAAATAAAAACATTATTTTTTTTTTCAAAACCACATAAAACCATTTATAACATCAACAGAAACAAAGAATAAAAGAAAACATTAAAATCGAGATGTATCTCATTCAGGGGCGGATGGTCATGGGGGACTTGGCCCTTGGGGTTTTTTTCCCGATAGAGTGAAACATCCTCAATCCATTAAGGTTTCAAGTACAAAATTCTTTTGAGGCCCTTCAATATTGTTGATCCAGTTCATTCGTGTTACGAAGTACCCTTCTAGTAATTATAAATAATTGTATATACAAAATTGTTTTATTAAAAAACAGGAACCTTAAAGGGAACATTCTATATGTGAAAGCTATTACAATCATGCACGTTAACAACTGATGTTACCTCACAAATCCAATTATTAAGTCACATTTTTGCAATCTATACCAGTAAGAAGAAAAAAAACTTGGGCCTTTGACTTCTTAATGCCCTCATCCTCTCGGTCTCTGGAGTCTGGACATTCAATCTATGTTTTTGTTAAACCAAAAGTGATGCTTTAGAATCAAAGCCTTGGACTTCTTTTATAGGCATAAAACTTGCTCTACCTTTTCTTATTTTGCTTCACCACGACTCCACGAGACATGTTTTCATATTTTGTTTCCTTTTACATTTGGTTAAAAAAATAAACATAATACAAATTACTATGCATATATGGAGAGAGAGAGAGAGAGAGAGAGAGAGAGAGAGAGAGGAACAAACCATCTCGTTGACTAAACGATCAGGTACATCAAGCCATGTATCCTCTCAATTTTCTTGATAAAATCAGATTTAACAATTACCCACTACAATCCCTCAGATGAGAGGCATTTTAGCCCTTTATAGAGCTTTTGGTTCGATAGAAAGAGAAGTTAGATCAATTTGCAAAAAGTCAAGATCATATACAATTACATGTGATACTCACGTTTAATCATATACAACTAAACACATCCATAAGGGAAGCCGGAAGTATTCACGTGAGACCTACCTGTTTTCGTGAAACCACTTTTCACACTTGAACTTCATAACAAAACGCTAAAAAGATAATTAAAAAAAAAACCGAACCTACACAGCAAAAACACTTTGTTGTGAAGGTTTCTTTCACACCGTTTTACTGTAAAGTTTCAAGTGTAAAAAAGTATTCTCACAAAAACAAGCTGATCTCAAGTGACCCCAAGTGTGTGTGTGCATGTGTGTGTATATATATATATATATATAAATAATAGAAACATCTTTTAACAACCAGAGTAAATTGAAACAAAAAATCCATAATTTCCTCCCAATTGGCAGTTTATGCCTAAAAAAATAAACATAATCTAATTCATCAAATTCCTCCCTGACAAAAATTGGCAAAAAATTAAACACTTTGACCGAATACCCAATCTCCAAAAAAAGGAACCAAAACAATTTGCAACTAACAGCTGCTATTCTACTACTACCACCACCACCACTACTACTACTACTACTACCAATAATAAAACCAACTAAAGAAAAAACAAACCTCTTTCTATTGGTCTCTATCATCACCTAAAACAAAACAAAAATGCCAAAAAAAAAGGTTAGAAAACAAAATTCCCCAATAAAACCAATCAACAGCCATTAATATCTTATAAAGTAAACCACGTTTTTTGTTAATAATTGCGATTTTCGTCCCTTCAGTTTAGATATTGCAGTTTCCGTCCATATGGTTTGTAATTCATTACTACATTTGTCCTTATAATTTACAATTTCTTGTTGTTTCAGTGTTTACAATTCTTTACTATTTTGTCTCTTGTAAAGGTAGGAATTAGTCCATGAGCAAAAATAGCAATAAATCACAAACCATAGGGAAGAAAATCGAACAAAAAACGTAATTTACTCTAAAAGAGTAAATTGCCTTTTTTTCATCCCCATGGATTGTTAAAAGCTGCGAGTTTCGTCCTTGTGGGGTTTTATAAAAAGCAGTTTTTATCCCTATGGTCAGTAATTCATCACTATTTTTTTGTCCTTATAATTTATTGTTGTTTTGGTCCAATGATTTACAATTCTTTAATGTTTTGGTCCCTTTGTGCTTAAAGTAGGAATTAGTCCAAGGACGAAAATAGCAATAACCAAACCATAGGAACAAATTTTGAATTTTTTAAATCACAGAGACGAAAGTCGTAATTTACTCTATTTGATATACCAATTTACTTACTTACCCACTGAAATTTTAGAATGTGAAACCAAAAGCCAGCCACACTCTTCTTATCAACTCTTGAGCCTGTCTTCTGATATGAAGCACAAGCAGAAACTCACTGTGCCATATTTCTGGCACTTCCGTTAACATCCAATCCACGGTTGACACGCCCGCCACCACCGTTGTTGTCTCGGTGAAATCCATCGCCGCCACGGTTTGAAGCTGCTCCTCCACGACTGCCGCCTCTGTAACCATAATCATTCCTGCTGCCACCAAAATCACCAACCCGATTGTAACCCCGGCCACCACCATAGTTTCCACGACCTCCTCTCATGGCTTCGTTCCTGAATCCAGATCCCCTTCCGACTACAAACCTTCCCCGGTTTCCTCCTACAGAAAGGTACACGGTTTAAAAAATTAGATATGAAGATAAACCATTTGGATTCCCTTAAAAAGTCCTATTTCTCCTGTAGAATTGACACATAGGTATTGAAAATAAAAGTTAAAAGGTTATCCTTGTTATGATGCTTGCATATGAAGAGTAATATTTCATATAGTTAATGTAGCTAGCATATAGCCTTGTTGTAACATCCCAGGCAACTCTACCAGATATTGTCCGTTTTGTCCACAACTGGACTCACAGTTTTAAAATGCATCTGATAGAAGAGGTATCCAGTCCCTTATAAGGCAACCTTGGTTCCCTTCCCCAACCGATGTGGGATCTTACACTCGTGGTTCCGCGTTTGGTTTGACATGTACACCAGAACAAAAAGGGATCGAGTCCAAACATGACTTTTGTCCCACCAAAAGTAGGTGGAGCAAAATTCAGGGAGCCTGGACAAGATTGGTAAATTACTAAACCACTCGTGTCAAATTAAAACCCTAAAACCTTCCACAATTCTTTAACCCACCTACCTCACTCTCAACCGTTCATTTCAGTCCAATACCGTGTATAAAAAACTTACTAGGGATAAATTGGTCATTTTATATTTTCTGTCCTGCCTAGTTCTGTCTTACCAAACACTGAACCGCTTTTCTGTCCTGTTCTACCCTGTTTGGATACCAAACGCACCCTAACAGAAATGGGACTGAAAATATCTAGAAACAGAAAAGTATATTTTCTAGGACAAAAGTATCTTTTACCTTAACCATCTATCAAGACAAATAAAAGTCGGAAGTTGATGAATAAATATGCTTATTTATGATGTTAGTAGCAAAATATCTAAAACATACCTTTGGAGTTTGTAGACCGCTTCTCTTCAACAACAGCAGCACGTCCACCAACAATGACTGGTGAAGCCTGAACATAAAATGAAAAGAAAAAATTAAATGTCATGTTCCATTGTATAAATCATTACAACAAAGAAAACACAAAGGTTGCAAGTTCTTTCAAGTGGAATGTATAACAGTAGTTGGTGACTTGGTGTGCAAGGATAATGGCACGGAGAAATAAAATCACGAGGTCTACAAAAGCACCCAGCTGAGTTAATCCACAAAACTATGTCCGAATCACATTGCCTTCATGCAGAAAGTTATGAAATCAAACGATATAATAAGTTAAGGAAAATGTTGAATTAGCAAACACGGCTCCTTGAGATTATTTTAGGTAGGTAAATAGTAGGCTCCGAGAAAAAAACGCAACAGAAAGAGATTTCAAAGAACCTATGCAGAATGATTCGACTAGGCCTCTCCGGCAATTATTCATCCATTAACAAGTTAAAATGATCAACTTGGCTTACTTCAACCAATGAGAATAAGTTAAGATTGAGAGCAACAACTGGAAAATCATATAGTGGGTTTGGATCATTTTCTATAAAATATTTGGAATCACATACAAATGGTATTTAGAAGTAACAACATATAAATGGCATTTAAGTACAAGAAAACATAGCCAAGGTAAGAAAAATCATACACCCATAGTCTAACTTAGGAATTTGGTAGCCTAACTGTATGCTCACTAACCCTACCCCAACCCACCCCACCTTCTACCTCTTCGGCTCCCATCTACAGATCTCCATCCCTAGTTTGTTACCCTGGTCCTACGTCTCCAGTAACTCCTATCAGAGGTCATGTCCTCGAAAATGCCTAAAAGTTGCAATGTCTAACCTCGGTTGCTCATCCCATTACCTCCTTGGTCTACCCCTCTTCAACTCCTGGACCGTCACACTCTATCTTCCCCAACGAGCCACCATATATATCCTATGAATGTGAACAAACCACCACAATCTTCTTTCCCTCAACTTATTTGCATGCAATCCAACATCGCTCGAAAGATCTCTTTCAGTATTTTGTCAAACAAGGTCCAGCGAAATGCCATCTAAGCATCCTCGTTTCTGCAACTTCCAAATTCCTCTCATGAGCCTTTTTTATCGCCCAACACTCTGACCCATACAACATAGCAGGATAGCTACCCAGTAAAATTTCCCCTTCGGTTCTAGCAGAACCTTCTTGTCACACATCACCCCATGAAGCCCCCCCCCCCCCCCCATGTCTAAAACTAAAAGCCAACTACTTCACAAATGCAAATTTAAGATAAAATTCTTCGCATTGCTATGACCAAATTGTTCTATTTTTCTATTTATGTTGGTTCTTGCCTGGTTGAACATACTTGCAGTTTTGTGACAAAATTCAAATAAATTAATATTGCAAAATAACCTGTCTGGCGGCATTTAATAGAGTAATTGTTCAAAGCAAGAAAGAGATCCTAATAAAACCTCAATCTGCAACCCACTGGTAATCAACTAGAAACCAATGACCTCGTTGACAGATTCAACCACCTGTTTCAATTCTTCAGCATTTTTTCTACTTTCTTACACAACACAAGTCCCCCCCCCCAAATATCATCAAGTAACTATGGGTTCATTATAATTTTAGAACACTGGTTTAAGCAAGGTCAGTTTGTATTCATTTAACAGTTGATTCTCAAGCAAAAAGCAAAGGTGATCAGATACAGACGCTAACAATTCATTCATCATAATCGAGCCGATTTTTGTGTATGACAGATATTATCATAACCTGATGACCTAAACCACTACCATGCATTCTCCTACTGGCCCTACATGAACATTTTGGTCTATAGACTACACATGCATACGCGTCCGATTCAATTCATGTTAGAATCAGATACATCTACCAAGCACATAATACACCTGGTGACAAACAAGACTCTTGAAGACTTATGAACTAAACCTATAACTACATGTTGATGCCATTGTACCAAGCGGATCCCATAAATATATAACACACATAAACACCAACCTGACAACAGTCACAGCACCAGAAGCAAGAACAAAATACCCATCATGAACATTATAATTCCATGAAAGCATACTAATAACATAACCGATAATGCCAGAAACAATAGGAAAGATGTTAGATTTAAGAGTGAAGCAATTAATAAGACATGCACAAACTAAATATCCAGCGTTACAGGTAGTAACCATTACAAAGAAAGAAAGCATACAATAGGTGAATTTATTTCTCCATCAAAAACATGCATCACCAACTCAAACATACCTCAATCGCCTTTTGAACTGCATCAGCCACCTCGAATTCAACAAAACCAAAACAAAATCCCTGTTGCTGCTATATGAGTTTTTCTCCAGTCAAAAATCAAAAACATATTGAAATAGAACTGGCAAACGAAGTTAATACATACCCTATTGCTTCGAACTTGAATACCATTCAATTTAATAGGTCCAAACTTTTTGAATTCCTCCTCCAGCATTGCAGGTGTAGCATTCATTGCGAGACCCTTGATATAGACGGAGTAACCTTCAGCTGTCCAAACAGAGAAAAATTTGAACTCATGCATGCATACGAAAGGAAACATAATATCTGTAAACATTAGTAACAAAGATGTGCATGATGAATCAAATTTCTCATGAAACAATATGTTAGTATGCAATAGCAAGATCCAATTTCGATGATTATATAAGCATACCTTCTTCCTCGTGGATACCATTTTCAACAGCATCCGCATTGGAAGTGACTGCTTCTGCAGCTATGGTAGTTGTGAGAGCATTAACCAAATTTTGTTCCTGGTTCCTTGGTTGAGGTTTCTTGAGGGAAGGTGCTGGAGATGAGAAAGGCACACCATTCTGCTTCAGATCCATTACCTTATGCAACAACAAAGCATATCGTAAATGACCATAGGAGGAGCACCTTTGCAGTAACGCATGAAAAATGTCATCCAAAAAAATATTAATCCCTTAACAGACTTCACACACAGGTCAAACCAGAACACTTCACTGGAAAAAAACCTCCAGGGTACTCGGGAATAATCCACCTGCGCCATCTATCCATTTCTCCGTAAATCAAAAAACAACACACCTCATCTTTCTCCACAGTACCAAAGAACAATCAGATGGTTCCTATAGACCGACATCAAAAGGAAAAGAAACAGAACATGCTTAAAGGCCACTTACAATAGATGCATATGACTTCTTTGCCACTCCCTCAATTTTGGTGTTGGATTCAACAGCCAGCTGTGATATCTCCGGCACTTCATCCACGACCTCAGGAACAGGCTCTTCCTCCTCTACAGTGGGTTCTTCTCCATTCTCCATGGGAACAACCTCTTCTGCTTTAGATTCCTCTGTCAATACAGCAGCTTGCTCGGGAATATCATTCTCCGGCACTGGAACAATTTCAGGTACTGCAGATCATAGATTTCAAGAAAATAGATGAAGAAAGAACTAACACAATTTCCAAACGCAATTCAGACTCCAATCTCAGCTAAATATGTATATTTTTCAGTCACCTTGCTCAGGAGTAACAGGAGTCGCCTCATCCTCAGTGGGAGGATTGTCTCCTTCAGGATGATTAGCATTCTCCATATAACGGAACATGTCATTTAACACAAAGAAGCCTTTGTCTTGAGGTGCAAGGAAGAAAGATTGAGTAAAATTCCGTTGAACATTATCCTTTCCAGTCAAATATCCAGTGACTAGAACATTGACTCCGCCGTTTAATGATTCTTGTGCATCAACAGATCTAATCTCAGCCCTGAAGTCGCCATAGTTGAGGGACAATATTTTAGCATCAATTGCCTGCAAACCAGCACCAACATTAAAATCAGTTTAACTCATACATACACACTTCTGGAGGAAATTAATTTTATTCGGGTATATATGATTTTGGGGTTGATTTAAATCTCTAATTTTCCAGTGCTTTCAAGTAACTCATATATATACACATTTGGGGAATCAAGAGTTGAGTCCTGCAATTTAAAGATGACAAACCAAAATCATACATACATGGTACTACACTTGACACATAGAATTATCAACGGTCTAACAGATATCTACAACCAATTGATGGACTTTATCAAACACATAGAGCTAAAAAAGCAAAAGAAAAAAATACATCTTATGCTTTGAATGTCTATCAGTTGCTTGAGGCAGATGATTGACAGTTTGCAGGCATCTCATTTGTTTTATAATAAATTACAAGTCCGGATGAAATACAAAAAGTGACCTTGCTTCCGAAAGAAAGCAACCTAAGGGACTACCAAAAAAACAGAGACGAGTCACTTAATTTATAACTGAAAAAAATGAACAGAGACAATACATCCATGGTGGTAGTTATGCTCATGGAACCATCTTCCTCGGGACGACCAAGTTTGCTGACATCCTGATAGAATCGATGAACTAACCCAGGTGACTGGTGCAGTATATGATAATACTGCACAACAAAAGCATTCCCAACCTGTTTATTGACAAAACATTTGAAGAAAAACCAATTAAAATCATTTAACTACAAACACTACAATCAGATAATAGCACATTGTAAAGCAAGTTGAAACATACATCAGAATTAGAAAACAACATTTTAAAAAAATAAAATACAGTACCCAGAGGCCTATTTTTTTCCTGGAAAATCAAACAAAGTTACGTTCTTCAAAGATCCCTTGTACCCGGTATATCCGACTCAAAAGTAGGACGTACCCATGCCTTTCCCCTGTCCCGATGGGAGTAAAGACTATTTCCGTAAAAACCAGGTTTGTGAAAAAGTGCCAATACTATGAGAGGCTTACTGAAATCAAACAATGCTGATGAAAAAGCATTAAGAATATGCAAGCAACGCAAGTTTTATACATAATGATGGTTTTATAACCTTTTCACCATTAGTTATTTATCTTACATGTTTTTAACATTATATGTTAGAATATTAGGTTGTGCACCACCGAATTTCATGAATTTGGCGTAATGGTAGATCATCTGACATTATTTTCATCAATTCAGATCAACTTTCTAATGACGGAGAGAAAACATAGCGTAGAATCGCCAAATCCTCCTATAACAGAACAGTACAGCTAAAAATTAAATTTAGAATCTCGATATCATGAGCCGCCATAAGCAAAACTTTAAACAAACATAAAGTAATCTAAAAAGCTCAATGACTCGAGACATACAACTTGAGCAGATACAGGTGCCGCTGCTGCTGCTGCTGCCGGAGCCGCCATTGTAGATCGATGTCAAAACCCTAACGAAACAAGCCAAAAATACTACTAATCATTACAAACATCCAAAACAACGGCGGTAAGATACAGGTACAAATCATAAATCAAAAAACCTAACGAAAATTACAGAGAATGTATAAATAAAAGAGAGAGAGAGAGATTAAAATGCAAACAAAACAATCCGTACCAGAATCAAGAATCAAGATGTGTGAAGATCGAGGTTGAAGCGAGAGAGAAAGAGAGAATCTCTGATCCTGTTCCTCCTTTCTCTCTCTACTTCTTCGTTTGGGTTAGGGTTTGTTAGCGGATCTCGGTGGGGCGCGAAACGAGAGTGCGTAGAGGGGGAACGAGGAGCGAGTATTTTGCGTCAAAAGGGTTTCCAGAGGGTTTATAAGGCAGGGAGGGTCAGACCTCACCAAATTGTTTCTCTCCTTCGGTATAAATTGCTATAGTTCGGTAGAATAGAATTGTATATCTATACTGTATTTATAATTGTCAAAAACTTTTAAAACCTATTTTTTATGCATAAAGTATTATTTATTAATGTATGTTACTTAAAATTCAAGATTACAAGTAGATTGTGCATAAATACAACTTATTAAAGCTTCATATCTGAATTTGTGTAACTAACTGTAGATAAACATAATCAAATACAGGATAAACATCTCATTTTAAATATATAAAATCTAAAATATAATTAAGATAATCATTGAGTTCTAACAGAATCTTTAATTATTATATTTACAAAATATTATATTATTAAACCAAAAATAAATTACTTCTTTATTAAACTTAAATTAAATTATAATAAAAAATTAAATTAAATAAATTATTTAAAAAATGATAACTTTTAAATAGTTGATTTGATACTAATATTGATATATTTTTTTCAATTTTTTATGATATCTTCAAATTTACATTTTATTCAAAAAAAAAACCATTATTACTTTCTTAAAAACACATAAAATTGTATTATAACATCGACAAAGACAAAAAATAAAATAGAACATTAAAATCGAGATGTATCTCGCTGTATTGCGCGAGTACCCATCTAGTAATAAAATAAGGGGTTGTTTAGTTCGTTTTCTATTAAAACATGTATGAATATTGTTGTTTGTATATTAACAGATAGGTTATTGTTATAAACATTCTGAATGTCAGAATTACCATTTCACTCTCAATCTATCTTTTTATTTTATTAGACTTTTATATACTTCACACAACAGACCTGCACCCCTTACATCACACCAAACACCACCATCATCGTACGATTCCCCTTTTCCATTCAAGTAAACACCACCATCACCACCAGTTTTCTTGAACCCGCTGGGAGGAACTCCATCATTCCACCATCGCCAATCAATTCCTCTTTCCATTCTTGTTGGCTGAAAGCTCCATAGGAATTGACACCTTAGAAGAATAATGGAAAACCACAGCTAAAAGTCGAAAACCACAACCGATGAACAAGAAGATGAACAATTTTGACTGCTTGTAGAAAAATGGAACAGACGAATTTTGGAGGACCTAGTTGTTTTTTGGATGATTTTGATGAACAACGAGCTTGTTTGATTCATAAATGGATGGAGGATAAAGTGTGTGAAAAACCGATTGGCGTGAGGAAATTAGCGGCGGCAGGTTTCGACAAAAGCTCGAGTTGACGAAAGGTGAGTTGATGTACGGTGGTTTTTCTTCGTTGGAAAGCAAATTCGTGAAAACGAAATTAAAAACCTCCTCCATCTTTCACTACCAGAAACACAAAGAAATCAAGAGGAAATCAAAAACCTCCTTCGTCGAAACTTGATTATTCACTGCTGGAAACACAAAGAAATCAATAAACTGTGATGGACGGTAGAAGCATAACCAATGGAGTATTAAGAGATGAACAATGATAGAGTGTTGAGAGAGAGGGGTAGTTGGGGAAATTTAATGGCTAAATACAGAGGACACATGTTTGTATCCTGTCATGTGCCTCTCTAGGATTCGCTATCGCTCGTGACTGATATATGGATTTCTCTATGTAGTGGTCGACCTTCTAGAAGCTTCACCAGAAGCACCTAGTCGCTTCCCGAATGTCCCTTTCCTTCGCTACTAGTTGAGCGATTCAACTATGGGCTGCCCGAATAAGCTCATACTGAACAACTAGATATAGTTGACCGAATAAGCTTATGGCTTATATAGCCCATTAAGCCGCAACCGAACATCCCTTAAGTAAAATGATCAATTTATCTCTAATGAGTTATTTATATATTTTGATCAACTTATGTAATCTATGAAATTATAATATAAAAAAATTATGACGAAATATATCATTAGAAAATTATTGTCAAAACAATTAAAATGATACAAAATAAAAAAAAATATGTAGTTTCCAATTTTTATATTATCCCTACATTATTTATTATTATTATTATGATATAAAACATATATATAAACTATATAAAAATAACATTTTGATGACTGTAAAATGAAAGTTTAAAATACAATAAATCTATATTGTATTATAAAACATTTGACAAAAACTCTTAAAAACCATTTTTATACATGAAAATTGTATATTGATGCATGTTACTTAAAATTCAAGATTACAAGTAATTATGCATAAATAAAATTTATTAAAGCTCCATGTTTGAATTCGGGTAACTAACCGTAGATAAACATAATTAATTAGAGAATAAACATCTCATTTTAAAATATAAAAAATCTAAAATATAATTAATTATTATCTTTATAAGAAAATTATATTATTAAACCAAATATAAATTACTTTGTCATTAAACCTAAATTAAATTATAATAAAAAATTGAATTAGAAAATTACACAAAAAATAAGAATTTTAAATAGTTAATTTGATATTAATATCGATATATTTTTGTCAAAATTTTATGATATCTTCAAATTTATATGTTATTCAAAAATAAAAACATTATTGTTTTTTTCAAAAATAACATAAGACCATACTATTACATCAACTTAGATAAAGAATAAAATAAAATATTAAAATCAAGATGTATATCGCTGCATTATGCGAGTACCCTTCTAATATAATTTAAAGAATAAATAAAATACAAAAATTAGACATATTTGATATTTTAGATGATAATTAAGTTTTATTTTAAGGTTATATTAGTAAAATATAAGTTTGTTCCACCATGTTCCATGGGATAAGGGTGAAACATGCTTGTTCCACTTTATTTATGTTTATTCCACATAAAAGTCATGCCAAATATGAAACATGGATCAATGTTTCTGGTATGTCATGTCATGGCCAATGTATCAAAAACCCTCTAAAAACCTGAGATCTTTGGCTTTTGATTAAATGGCTAGACAAAAAATAAATTTATTTATAAGTTAGTTTATTTTTTAGGTACACTTTTGAATATACATAATATGACTTACTAGTTAATTTATTGAAACATTATTTAGAGCAACATTTTAATAGCTTATTGGCACTTTTTTTAATTATAACTCTTGTTAATATTAATTATTACTTATTATAGTATTAATTATAAATAATTTTAAAATTTTAAATATTACCAATATTAAAAAAATATTAATTATTAATTAATATAAATTGAAAATTAGTTAATATTGTTTATAACTAGAATAGAAGTCGCGCAATACAGCGAGATACATTTCGATTTTAATGTTTTATTTTATTTTTCGTCTATATCGATATAATAAAATTTTATGTGGTTTTGAGAAATCAATAATTTTTTTTAATGAAATATAAATTTGAAGATATCATAAAAATTAGAAAAAAATATCGATATTAATATAAAAAATTAACCATTTAAAAGTTATCGTTTTTTTGTGTAATTTATTTAATTTATAGTTTAATTTAGGTTTAAAAAAAATAATTTATAATATAATTTTTTATAAAGATAATAGTTAAGTATTCTATTAGAATTCAATGATTATCTTAATTATATTTTAAATTTTTATATTTAAAATGATATGTTTATCTTATATTTGATTATACTAGAAAGGTACCGCGCACTGCAGCGAGATATATCTCGATTTTAATGTTTCATTTTATTATGTCCCCGTCGATGTTATAATACGATTTAATGTGGTACCGAAAAAAGGATAATGTTTTTATTTTTTTGAATAAAATATAAATTTGAAGGTATCATAAATTTTTAATATATATATATATATATATATCGATTTTTGTATCAAATTAAATATTTAAAATTTTTGTATTTTTGTATTTTGTGTAATTTCTTTAATTCTATTTTTTATTATAATTTAATTTAGATTTAATAATAAAGTCATTTTTTAGTTTAATAATATAATTCTTTTATAAAAATAATATTTAGTATTTTGAATTTAATGATTATCCTAAATATATTTTAGATTTTTTATATTTAAAATGAGATACTTATCCAGAATTTGATTATCTGTAGTTAGTTACACAAATTCAAACATGAAACTTTAATAAGTTGTATTCATGCGTAATTTATTTGTAATCTTTGAATTTTAAGTAATATCCAACAGACTCCCCATCTTGAAGAATATAACATTAATTATTATATTAAAATATTTCATTTATCTATTAAGACATTATTTATCTATGGATATTTATTTTCAAAGTTTTCTATTGGTGCTCTCACTTGGTACTCATTTTTTGGGCGATCTCCATATTTGGAGAAAAAACTCTTATATCTCTCTTACTTTCTCCATTTTGGAGATAGTTATAAGGAAGCTGTCGGAACAAAATATAAGTTCAAGATCCACATTTTCCATATTCTGAACGAGCTATCGGGGATGCTCTTATACAACTTTATTATCATTAAAAAGAAGGAAACCGACCCAAATGACCATATTGTACAACCAAATTGACCTTCTAACAATTTATCTCCGAACTTTACCCAAAAGTTACTAGGTTTGCAATTATTGCAGGCTGACTAAACGACAAAATTCTAGAGTTCTTTGACCCAGGTTCGTAATTGTTATGGATCCGGCCCAAATTGAATCGGTAATGCCAGATCCATAAGTGTCCACCTTGGGGGTTTCATAGGAAAATAAGTTTTTGGTCGAATCTGTAACAATTGTGGACCGGTGGTTACAGGCGTGGTCCAAAAACGTTGATTTTTTTATCGTTTAGTGGGTCTACAATAATTATGGACTTTGGTATTACGAACCTAGTGACTTTTGAATAAAATCCAAAAAAATATTAGAAAATTAATTTGGTTGTGAAATATGATCATTTGAGTAAATTTCCGTTAACATCATGGACGGATCTACATGGTGGTTACGGTGGCACGTGCCACCGTATTATTCCTCCGTCGAAGGGTAAAATAATTTAGGTTTGCAAAAGGTGCAACCGTATTAATCTGTTGTGTGTCATATATGTATTTTGAAACTACAATGAGAATAAATTTTA